CTACCAGACACGGTATCCATGCTTCGTTGTAATCAGGATGAGTATGAGTTTTTAATGGATCGCGATATTTCGGTACTACGATACAGCGTAAAGCCTGTTTCACATCAGCCTTACGACAGCCGTACGGGAACATGTTTGGCAATTCGCAGGACTTCGTGCGGACTCCGCACCACTGCCGTACAAATTTTTCAACATGCTCATTTTCTTTGCGATTTCTTTGCGATTTTTGGAGTTCGTACGGCACTGTGCGGTTACCACACGGCAGCCGTACAGCTACCTTGAGACCATCGCACGTCAATCGTACGATTTTATACTTGCGATTGTCCTGCGAAGGCTGCACGGTGATCGTACGAATATCTTGCGGCTGACTTGCGAATGCCTTGCGTCTGGTGAAAATTATGTCTATAGACTGCTGCGGAACGTATGAACAACGCATAAATTGGAACTGCTGCCCCGCAAATGTCTTGCGAAAAGTTAGCGTCATCCCTCCTCTTTCTGTCCTTGTCTGTCTTGTTCGTCATCAGTCATCAGTCGCTGTCGAGATCTCAGGAAGAGGTCATACCTCCAAAACAAAGATGTGTGTCTACGTTGATTTCATGTTCGAATGTATCTAGAGACTTTAACGCAAAATAAGTAGTTGTACTATATATGTATCGATTTGTTTCGTGTCATTTTTTCCACAATGATAGCCAAAATGTGATATAATCCTTGGTATAATGTATTCATTTTTATTTCTGTTCACAGCAGAAAAGATCATTGGATAGCAGAATGATACTGTTGCCGCATACCATTGTATATATATCCAAATCTCCTAATGGCGATCGCACGAACACCGAACAGCTGTCTTGCAAATTCGTGCTTGCCGTGCGGTGGTCGTAAGGAACTTTGCGGATTCTTATGGCAGTCTTGCGGGTGCCTTCAGAATTTGTGCAGCCGCCTAACGATAACCGCATGACAGCCATGCGAACACGTCGCTTTGTTTTTTTCGTACGTTCAACCTGCGAACACTGTACGGTTCGTGAGTTAACCGTGCCACCAACGTACGGAAATCGCTTTGCAAATTTGAAGTATGTGCGACGGGTGCGACAAGGTAGCGATTGTGTTTGCGGCGGAAATCATACGACGAAAAAATCGCACGGCTGATGTGAAACAGGCTTAACGAGACCACGATACGTCGAAGCGAGACTACGATACCGCCAAGCGAGACTAACTCGAGGGCGAGGGCCCTACTCGCTTCGCGTTATGGTAGTCTACGATAATATCGCTTTGTTAAATGGAATGAGATATTTCGAGACTGCCATACCGCGAAGCGAGTAGGGCTGCCGCCCTGAGTTAGAGTCTCGCTTTGCGATATCTTAGACTCGCAATATCGCGTTCCATTTAACAAAGCGATATTACGATGTCTCGAATGAGCCACCGTAACAATACCACTGATTGGTTTTCGGGCTGGTGCGAAACGTACGGAGTCTGTCAATTTAGGACTCGGTGACTCAGCGGTGACATTTCGGTAAACTACCATACCTTTGGATTGGTGCATGTGCACTGACACTGGACATGACGTGATCGCCCGTTATCAGTGATTGAAGGTCGCACAGAGTGTGCTCACAGGTATACAGAACTTTCGGTTTCGATGTAGAGCGCTTATGATACTGTTGTCATCTGTTAGATTTAATACTCAATACTATTCAAACGTTAAGTGCAGGACTAAGACAAACATAGGATAATCCATTTCATTTTATATTTGTATCAAATGAGAAACGCATCGCGAGTGGTTTTTATTGAAAAGTAAAGTCTATATATGTTCATTTTTGTCGCACGAAAAGTTTTCCTCGCTTCTCGTTAAACTTGCCAAACATGCTGATAACCAGAAAACATTATCCGAGATTTTACAAAAGACACAGAGGTGAATAGGACCTTTCAGAATTAGTCATAGTAGAGCCAAACAATAAATTAAATTGCATCATACAGCTGCTTCGTCCTTTAGGATTCGTCAGTGATGCTGAGAGCATTAATTTTGAAGCCTAGAATTATTTTAGAAAAGGCAATCGTCTTGAGAAATCTCTGTATGTCATATAACATAAACGTCTTACCTATAATCAGGACATATCAGGTTGGTTCTGTATGAATACATATAACATATTGTTGTCTAGATAACTATCATCAGTGTTCTAGCAACATGAGGCGCGACCTGCATCCCTTCCATTGGTTCGAACCGTCTGTGCTGCAGTGTAGAAATAAAATTATTTTAGAAAACGGTTCCCGGTCCTAAGGACGTCTTATGCTATTAAAATATACATGTTGTTGATTGCAGCGTCATGTTTTATTATGTTAATGCCACAGACTGACGGAAAGAGGGCTAGGACACTAGATGTGACTTTTTTAGTATTGTCTCATAACATTACTTGATTATGTATGCAACTGAATCGGCTATATCATGACTATATTATACTTCAAATTCACGAGCTATTGTTTTATATTCCGTCCGTCAGATAGTATCGTCCGTTCGTCAGACTGTATAGTCCGTTCGTCAGACTGTTTGGTCAGTCCGTCAGACTGTGTTGTGTGTGGTCCGTTCGTCACACTGTATGGTCAGTCCGTCAGACTGTATGGTCAGTCCGTCAGACTGTATGGTCAGTCCGTCAGACTGTATGTTCTGTCTGTCAGACTGTATGGTCAGTCCGTCAGACTGTATGGTCAGAGTCAGTAATTAGACTAGTGATCGGAACTCTCACGGTATGGTCAGATTTCCTGGACGACTTATCGTACAGTCGGTTATTTTCTCGGGGTTGATATCTTCGCTTTTTCGCGGTACATTGTCGTGAAAATATAATACATGAAATAATGACACATGTACGTATTACAACTCCATATATCGCGAAAATTTTCACCCGTGAAAAATAGCAGCTACATGTACATGGTATTATTAAGTCCCATATTATTGTATACAATATAATCACGTCGGCAGTTTCAAGGTATCTTTCAAAATAACAGCAACAGATTTTAAAAAAGCTTCAAACCCGGTATGGGTTGCCCAAGTGTCCCTAGATATACTTTGAATTGAGCTTCTGCTACATACTTGGTGATACAGAATTCCATGTTGAACCTGTATGCACCGACATGTATACTACGCTTACATAGGTATATCGCCATGCAAAGACAACTCTTTCAGACAGGGCAACAACGCATTTGTTCACAAACAGCTTAAAGAATAAATCGTAAACGTGATTTTATTTTTAATAAAGAAAATGAAAATAATAAAAAGATGACAAAGTTATGTCGCCTGCTACGAGTTCCTATATATATTCCGAAGACAAGCATAACATATACATACATAACATACTTTTAAGACGCCTTGACAAATTTTATTTTTTTTTTTTTTAGTGTTTGATCCTTAAATCTAACTATACATTAGAACGTCGGGACTCATGCTTTTGTTGCATTGGAAATATCACTGAACTTTAAATTTAAAGTAAACAAAAGGATTTGATTTGTAGGCGTTAAAGGAACACGTTATGATGATAATTTCCGTAAAACACTTGTTATGAAATGTTATGATATGTAGACAGGTAACCATATTACACCATCAATAACCAAGACAGACCAGTACGTCTGCACGTAAATAGTAATGTCCGAATAAGGACAAAGGAAACATAATATTTGCTCTCTACTAACATACCATGTAAATAGCTTATGGACCTGGTAATGTATTCCGGGGTATTTTCACCACAAGTTATCTTTAATCTTTTTCCTATTTCGCCCTTTAAATGAAAGGGTTATTTAAGTGTAACAGATGTTTGCCTCCATCTTAAATTCTCGCTCTTCAAGTCAATGGACGAAAATTCAACGGGAACGAACTTTTTTACGGCACACATTAATTATTATCTATTACCCTTACTGTCACCCCCCCCCCCCAACCCAACCCAACCCCCCCCCCCCCCCCCTTTTTTTTTTTTTTAACTTCAATGGATAAAAACGTTTACTGATAACGGCCAAACCAGTTCTTACGTTACCTCAATGCTCCATGTTACGCAGTAAGTTGTTAACACCATTTTCAAAGACTGGTATGTCTTGACCTGGGTACAGTATCCTAAGCCTCCTTACAGGGGCAGTTCAAGGGAGACATTAAGACTTGCAATGGGAGGAAATACTAAACTCCAAAGTTTAGTCGCCTCTTACGATCATGTAATAGGGTACAGCAGGTACATTTCTTATACCCTACCTGTTGAAAAGAGGAAACATTTGTTATAGTCTAATCTCAATTAGTGAATGGCAGCTTTTATTAAAAACTTGGAGGTATCTAAAACACTGAGTTTGTTAGATTTTCTCTTAAACAATTTAACCCGATTATATATCATTATGTATGTATGCATTTGATACAAATATATTGTATTGATTAAGGGTTCTGATTTCTGTTAAAATGCTGTTGTGTCAATCTGGTAAAAATATTGCACTCGGTCAATATATCTCCACTAAGTTGATATAACAACTTATTAACCTCATCAAAGGTCTATAATTGATACAGTCATCTACAAATAATCATCCAATTTTTTTTTCATTTTACCATGACTTTGTATATGATTGTATCAAAGATAAAGCCATTATGTTAGATAGCATCGTGTTTTAAATGTTAATTTGGATGCCAATACGGACACAGTGATGTAACTGTTCACTGAAGATTAGAAAAATCAACATCATAAATACCAAACTGTCCTGAAATCAATATCTTATTATTTTCATTGTCAATAATTCATGCCATTTCCAATAAAGATCCCTTATAGAAGTTATCGTGTTTACAATGACTGATATATATGTCTATTCGTCACCTTTTACAACCCTATAACAAAGAAGTATGCTAATTTTGATCCACATATCCTACTCACCAGGCTTGTATTATGTCACGTGGTATCAGGTCTTCGGGTATCTACAACTCGTCCCGGCGAATATTCCAGGTATTATTGGAGAATCAGCTGACGAAGTAAGGCTAACTTTAACATCTAGTAATGACGATGCTTGAATTAACGAAAATTTTCACGAGTTTTTTCTTGTTTTTTTTCTGTTGTAATGGAATGCTGGTACCGATTGACAAAAATGGACAGATGACTGATGGCCGTTTCAGTGGGAACCAAGAAAGTAAGTATATATCTTAATGTAACGGAATTGAGACCACTGTAAATATCTTATCTTTAAAACACAGCTATGTGAGTGTGGTATCATTTTAAAATATAAAGATGTACATACAAATAAGTTAAGTAGTTGGTAGACGTTAAGTCAATGAGATTTGGCGTAACCTGCTTGCCACGTTTTAATTCATTCGATTAGTGACACGGTTCAAAATACACATGTACTTGACGTTGTTCTAAATTATCACATCTTTGATATGATAACATTTATTGGGCTGCTGCACCTCCCCCTCTAGATCTTGACTTTTCTATTGATCTCTTCGTGTTTTCCTTACTCGTCTCCTGTCCTTCAAAATTTAGGCCCTTAACATTACTGACGAGTCCTAGAAGGACAAAAACAGCTGTATGATGCAGTTTAATTTATTGTTTGACTCTACTGTATTTTACTATTAAGTATGAAAATGTGCTATTAACTTGTGTGTCTTTTATATAATCTTTTTAATCCTTAAACTCCCTTACTCATAATTTCAAATTTGTCATAGAAATTGTACGAACGATTATCCCGTCATTTCAGTTTTTCCTCTTTAAACTGATTTATCGATCGTTGTACCATCTTTTCCCCGTCGGCTGAAAAGTCCCTGTCCCATTAAATAAATATATCTGATTTAAATCAAATGAAATAAGGTTCTGTACATTACCATATAACATTGCGGTATCGTGACGTCATTTTTCAGTCTTCGACGTCATTTTCACCATAAAAAAATATCAAATTGAAAGTATAAAACGGAATCTTCCCGTCACTTTCCATATTCCATGTCTTTTTCTTTAAGCCTGTTTGATAATTTCATTTTTTGTTGGAAATATGACGTCATTTTCACCAAAAAAAAATATCAAATTGAAAGTATAAAACGGAATCTTCCCGTCACTTTCCATATTCCATGTCTTTTTCTTTAAGCCTGTTTGATAATTTCATTTTTTGTTGGAAATATGACGTTATTTTCTTGAGGTAAATGTTTTTTGATCATGATGTCACTTAATTGGCTATAAGTGGTCTATAAATCTGAAGGTTCTGTTCGTTCTTTTATTCAGTAGAAACTAATAGAAAATGGGTGGTCGGGTAGCTCAGTGGTAACGCCCTCGTCTTTCACTTAGCCGTCCGGAGTTCTATTCCCGGAACGGACATGGAAAAGTAAGCGGTCACCTGCTCTACCATGTTGGTTTTCCAAGGGTACTCCTGTTTCATCCCACAATAAGACCACATAGAATTTAATACTGATGGATTTCGCGAGCAATATTTATCCGCGAAATCAAGTGCCAAAGACAAATTTATTTCTTGAAAACCGCGAAATATTAACCCCGCGAACAAATATAATTTTACAGTATTTCATTCAGTCAATATCCGGTAAACAATATTATAAATCATAGAACGTTATTAATCAGCAAGAATTTGCCACATACAAGGGTATGGCTTAAGACAAAAACTCGAGTTATCTGAAACCTGCGATAAAGGCACGTGTGAAGTATTTCTTATTAGTTTTAGAAGTGATTATCGGGTTAACTTATCACATTTAAGGGCCCACCGTGATCATACGTGAGACAGGTTCCTACAGAATTTGTGACTCCATCAAATGACTATCCGCACGACCGTGTTGAAGAGCGAAATCGTTTTATTTATTTTATGTCTAATATGTTATGTATCGAAGGTATTTAGATATTTTTGTCACCTTTGATTTTCGCGATAATCATGGGTGTTCGCCGGTAAGTTCGAGTTATTGTCCTATTTGTGTTACAACTCAATTCTTATCTTCTCCACCCCTGTAATACTACTAGTGCTAATAGCAACTGTTTAGATTTATCAGTTGTCCATTTAACAATCACGAGTGATTCCAACACCATCACGCAGTATTCTATATACCCAGAAAGAAATATTCAGTATCGAAGTATATTCTTCTCTAATAAGTTTACATGAAAGGACATATTTTCTGGTGATGTCTTTTTTAATTTCTAATTGATCTACTTTTCTTATTTATTTTACAAAATTCATTCGATAAACGTGGAAATTGCTTACGCTTGCAGTATTTTCCATTAAATACTTGGAATATTAATCTTTGGCATTTCTTTGTCTGAAAATATTCTAAAATCACGAGTTGTTTATTTGCGTCGACGGCTTATATTCTAGATAACTATATATATTTTTCTCATAGCACCACTTCATTGGAGGAACATAGCTAAGGAAGATCTGAACAGGCGCATTAACTGGAAACCAAATGTGGGCGTTGCAAAAAACGTGATATTTTTTCTTGGAGACGGAATGGGTATATCCACGGTGACCGCAGCACGGATCCTGAAGGGCCAACTGCAGAACAGGACTGGAGAGGAAGGACAGCTGGCCTGGGATGAATTCCCTAATGCAGCATTAAGCAGGGTCAGTGTTTTAAGTAGTAGACGAGCTTCTGGGTGAATTGTTGATTATTCGACCTAAATGTACAAGAAGTAGTTGTAAAGTTTGTCTAAAGATTTCAGTCCACGCAACAGCAAGGGTCTTTTGAAAATTGTTAATATTAATGCATGGGTCACTGACGGATAATGTAATCACTATGAATTGTCAATACCTAGATCCCATTCGGTATTTGATGAACAACAGAACACTCAGTCCTTGCCATCAACAGTAAATTAATTTTCAATCCAAAAGCGGGCAAAATGGATTGTAAATGTTCCGGAAAACATATATAAATGTTTGGGTCACATGAAGTGCAGAACAAATTGCAGAAAAAAAGAAGGGGAAATGTCATCAATCCAGATGTTGTAATGGGGCTAACTCGTCGGTTTTGGTATCCTTAATGTGTCTTGTGTAATAGACAAAAAATCACAGTTCTGCACACGGCACACGTGGAATGCAGAACACCTTATTCTTGAACTCACCGATATCCCCTTAATAGGTTCCCCTATCCCTGATACTACAAAATGCAGCAATATACAGCTAGTGTTTCCTTTCCTCGCTCCTGTGAATATCTTTTCGACAGGGAACAAGAATTCGAGTATTAGACCTTGTATATATAAACATAATATGTTTCATTGGAATAAATCAAATGGCCTATTGTACACAGCAAAGAAATGATACGAAATAAATTGATAAAAAGTTATAGTTGGTGTTTCTGGCATTATACTGAACAGTGCACGATCGCGTGTAGATTAGATTTAGACCTTAGCAACCGTCTGTTATCTCCAGAATATCACGTCGTTAGTAACCCGAGAACAAATAAAAGTTAAGCGCCATGTGCAGAAGTCAAATTTACACAACAGCTTATGTAGACAAGAGAGCACCTCTTTGTATACACAATTCTCATCAACACGTGGGAGTTAACACCTTTCCAAGGAGTCATTATTATATACATTAAAGATACAGTTTTACAGTGTCAACATTTAAAGGACATCGTGTTGTTTAACCCCGCTGTGTTTAGTTTGCATCGGCTTACAAACGAGTTTCTTTGAGTGTTTGTCATTTGTGTGTATGTCATTTTCTGATAATATTTGTATGACAGTACCCCAATAAATGCAATTTAAGCATAAACTATCCAGTACACTGCATATTTGCCACTAAACTTCATGTACGTTGTATAAATATATAACTTTATATTCGGTGGTTGGAATGAAACAAAAACGGTACTGGTTTTGTAATATCCAAATGACAGAAAAAGAGGTCCAAAATATTTTTTCAGCATTAATGATAATTGTGCGCAACTTTTTTCCCCGAGTATGTGTCACTATACTAGACCAATAATTGGAAACTGCATCCAAAATAATGGAGTAATAATTGAGGGCAGTTTTAACATTACAGTGTTATTATGAAAAGTTGTGTTAATACAGTAAATAAGAGACCCAAGGTCCTAAATTGTCGCCTTAGTGAACTCACAAACGGACACAACTGGAATTAATGCACAGTAGATAGAACAGAAAATAAAACACGCTAATTGCACAAGGGGCATGTTATTTGATTTGGTCATATTTGGGTATTGGGACGAGTTTATGAAATTTCAGTCAATTGGTTTTTTGTCTCGCCCACAGCCCCTTGTCCTATTCTAATATTTCTAACCACGTATGATCTATTTCCAACAGAAAATAAACAAACTATGTTCTAAAATGTAATTTTCTTAAATAAACTATAGTAAAATCCTCCCCCCCCCCGCCTCCGAAGAAGGAGTAGTGAGATTATGATGTCATGTAATTTATAATTTTGGAAATGCCCCTTAAGACCCTTCCGTCAATGGGTATTTGATTCTACCGTAGTTGGGTATTGAGAAAATTTTTGAATTTTAACCCTTTTTGACCTCGTCTCTCAGGCCCCTGGGGTATTCGCACTATATAATTTACAGTTTTATTTTTCCTTTTGGCATGTGAGATATCTGTCACGTATCATTGAAATCAGATCAAGGATTTTCCAGAAGTCAAAAGTATAAAAAGTGTACAGACGCACGAGGGATGACGCCGGACAAAAGGGTGTCGCAATATAGGTCACCATGAAACTTTGTCTCAGCTGACATAAAATGTGGCCTTGTCTCAAACCTGACTGAATATAAAGTAGTAACTACCTACAGTGAAATACAACTACTCATTGATAATTTACAAATGTCCCGAGCGAAGTGCTTTAATTCTATAAAAGTTCAGACGGTTGACTAACAGGGGAAATGACTGTGAATCAATTTGACTGCTGTATCTAGCAGCATGTCTTAAAATACGGCTATGTTGGTCACTGCTTGCAGATCAGAGGTTACTTCTCTTACGCCATCTACTTAAGGGGACATAGGAAGGTTCACGGATATTGTCTGTATTCCACTACATGTTCGGAGGAGGAAAACGATAAGAAAATACAAACATATCAAAATATTCATAATCCAAACTTAAATTCAATACAACTAGGTCAAAAAATGAACAAAGGATTGGCATGGAGACTCCACAAAAAAGTGCATGGCGAATAAGACCAGGTATTCCGGAAGAGTAGGCATGTTCGGCTTCGTCGTTGACACCTGCCATGTAAACATTATTCATTGCAGGTAAATAATGCATTCAACAACGGAACCAAAAGGCAAACTAACGAGCATCAAACACGGCCTGCTTCATATCGCACAAAGAAATGAAATATTTCTCAACGAGATGATTATAACGACATTAAAACTTCCCCATAATTTTTCACCAGCCTGCATCTTTTGAAACGAGTTTTTATGTCAGTTTCCTCGAAAATCGTGATAATGGTATCAAACCTTGAATATCGAATCATCTGCGACATGTAAACACCATGGATTGGGGATGCAGGTGTGTTTCTAACGAGAAATTGAAAATTCACAAAAGGGAAATCATCAAGCTTATCATACAGCTTGGTGGAAAGCTGTCCATGTTTGTTTCGTTGTAGTAAAGGATCGAAATACGCGGCTGATGTAGGAGAGTCTGTCGTGACTTGATTTCAAAATTCTGATGGGTAATTAAAGTGGACCTCAGCAGAGTCGGGGTTTTCGTCAGGGTCTTCTAAGTGAACATTGGAGAGATCAAGATAGATACGCTGGCTCGGTTGCAACACTTGGATTCTTGCTATTTCTTTGCGATCATGCTCTTCCTTCATGGGCCGTAATGTCAATTCTTGACGTCGCTCCCGGCACCCGTTCTTACATGACCCTTGCTGTTGCGAGGACGTTAAATACCTTAACAGTTAACAAAAAATAAAACACTTCAATTGTTTCTTCTGAAGAGTTAGCACCCGTTATTCGAGTTCATTTAATCATGCTATGTGCTTTGCTCTTTGTATAATGAAATATTGAATTTTTTCTTATTTTTAAGAAAATCGTTGTCATAGTAATGGGGAAATTTTATTGCAGTGTGATAAATCAGTAATAATTACGTCATGCAGGGTGTCACGCGGAAAAAATATTTCAATACATAGTATTCATTATCGACTTTTTTTTTACTTTGTCCTCTGATTGGTTGTGAGATTAACAACGGAATCTCTCTATGCTCTTTATGATATTATAGTAACTGTACGATGATGATTCTCAAAAGATTACTCATTCAATGTTTTCTCGTGGTATAACATGCTAGCCCTTCATTGTTGTACCTGTGCCAAAAATCATTCTCGTGTTTCTAGACATATAATCAAGACCACACTACCCCGGATTCTGCTGGAACTGGAACTCAGTACCTATGTGGTGTCAAATCTAACTTGGGCATGCTTGGATTGGAGGCACGGGTCACAAGAGGGGACTGTGAAGCCTCAAAGGATGCACATCTAACGTCTATTTATGACTGGTCAATGGCAAAAGGTAACGCCTTATGATAAGTTAACTTTAAACATATATCATTTAAATTATATTTGAATAATAACAAAAGTTCTACTGTAGTTTGTTTATCGTAGCAACAAAGAACAAACGTAATGCATTTTAACGTAATTAAGATGTTCCTTAATCATTGGGACAGGATTCAGTTAACATATCACACCTTGTTTCCTTTATCATTCCGTACTAGAATAACATTTGCCGGTATCCAGGTTAAGCGCGTTATTTTGGCAAATTGATGCAATGATGACGCATAGGTGTAAATGTTGACGTAAAATGAATCAAGTTCTCTCGACAATTTATTTGTCCACTCGTCACAAAATTATCTTTCGCTTAACATACTATGGTACATATAGGCTGGTATACACAACATAATGCAGTTATGTTGCCTTCAATTGGGTCACGTGACTTTGAATTAAAGCAACATAAAGACCGTTCAGAAACTTTTCCCGTATATTACACGGCCTCATTTGTCTTGGTAAGTTATTAAAGATAAAGTACATCTATATATAAGAGCAGTTGAGATTCACTGTAGATAAGTTTATTATTCATATCACAATCAGGAAGATTTCCAGTATTAAAGGGCAAATTTTCAACAAAATAGACAAAAATAATACATACTAACCCGATAATTTTAAACCTTCTCATACATATATTCCTATTTATGATTTTGTATGCAGATTCTATTCAAATGTTAAGTTTTGTGGCACATACCCGGGAAAGATGTGACATCATTTGAATGCTGACTTTGCAACAATGTATCTTTTTATGAGTACACTAATCAGTCACGGACTTTAAAGCACCCTTGACTCTCATGCGGTATTAGCATATCAAAATTATTCTTTACATAGTCACCATACAAATATTTAAATATATTTCAGCGTGAAAAGCTGAAATATTGTTGTTAAATACATAAAATGGTTCCGAGATCTTGGACTTGGATTCCGATTTTGTGCTGACAAAGATATCATCGGATTCTTTTTTATATTAAAAAAAATTATTATCAGGAAAGGCAGTTGGGGTGGTAACTACTACACGTATCACTCACGCAACTCCGGCCGCCGGATACGCCAACGTAGCTGATCGGGACTGGGAAGGGGATACTCCCATGGGGAAAGTATTTGGGAAAGGCTGTAAAGACATAGCCGTACAGTTAGTGGAGGAAAACGCCGACATTAAGGTGAGAGTCACGAGCTCATTATGGTTGATACCCTTACAACCGATATTGGTTAATTTGATAATCGTATTGGTGGTTATATTCGCGGGTATGATATTTTCACGTGTTTGACGATTCTTATTGTGATCGCCAATAATTAATCTGTGACGTAATGAGACTCGAGTTAAGTAGATATGTTTTTACATACAGATCGCGAAATTAGAATATTATCTTTCAATTTTACAAGTAAATTTTTGACCCGTGAAAATTAGCGTATATGCAGTAATTGCTTGGTGTTACGTTTATTCCGAAAATGATCACATGCCTATTCTCAGTATAATGTGACTCTCTGAAATGTCCGGCAGTGTACTTTAAGCAGTATACTTCAGTGTGGTAGCACTATGGAGTCGGCATCAGTTCCACTCTATCACAAGGAAGTTTATATATACATATTACAATCTCCCAAAAACAAACGTATTCAAAATATGCACTTTACTTACATCAGGTGGTTATCTTTAGATGACAATAACTTGTGATATGACGATAAAGAAACAACATCCGACATAGAATATTCATAAACAAAGCGACATGTTTACCAAGTATGGGCATGGTCGAACAAAACAGTCGAAGTTGTTGTGTGGAATCTAAACGGACGAGCCAGGACAAATAACAATGCATTTGTTTTCGTTACTGTCCTCACCTGTATTTAAAGACAACTGAAATGAATCACCTATTTCTAATTCATTGTCATTTTGCTTTCCTTGAAACGCCTCTGTTGGTAACACTTTGACCTTTTCGCCGAACATTCGAAAGTGTTTGTGGGACTGTGTCATGAAAGAAACATACCAAAAAATGTACTTTTAGTATGTTAATGTTAAGAACTGGTTTTCTCTTACCCCGGACAGGGATATCCACAGTTTCTACCGGTGTGAGATTTTTTTAACAGCTTAATAATCCCCCCGAGGGTCGAGATCCCCCTGTCTTATCCCAAAGGGGGTGAAAGATTCTACTAATCCAAATTCATGGCGTTAATACCATTCGTGCGCTGTGTATGAAATTTTATTCCATGACTTTGGTTTCATATTGTTTCGCTTCATAACAACAGCTGCGCACTATCACAGTTAGACTTAAACAAACATATCAAAGCTTTCCGATAAACACGAGCAAAAACACTCCATTCGAATGCGCCGGAAGGTCATCCTAAAATCAACCTACTTGTTGATAGAACTTCAAAGGTTGCATCTGCCGGGAAATACGCCCACATTCGCATACTGAATCTATATTTCATATTTAGAATTATTTGCAATATCATTGTGCAACATTTAAAAACAAGAAAATACTTTTTAAAAAAACGCGTGAAACACCGAGTTTTTTCCACCGAGAAATCTTAGAATTGTGCTTGCTGCCAAAGTGAATGACCGTTAAAGACGAATGCGCCTGAATAACTATCTTGTTTACAGTCATATTGCTGCCCAATGTCTCAGCTGATGTTACTTTGCTTTCGGTCATTTCTAGGAGGTTCTATCCGCAGCCGTATCAAGGTGATTGAGGTGGTATTTAGGCTCCGTAGTTTGTGCTTAGTCTTGAATTATACTCAAATACTTGGTTAGACCGTTGTCGGTGTTATATCACCGGTTCTGGTATCATTCTACCACGTCCAGTGTGGTCGGATTGCGCCGTGGTAACGCACTCGACTTTCATCCAGACATACGGGGTTCGATTACCAGAATCAGTATGGTGTCAGCTACCCGACCACGTGGTTTTCCCCGGGCACTTCGGTTTCCTCCCTCGCCCTCGCGCGCTTCCATCCGGGCTAACAAGAGTGATAAATATAAGTTGGGAAAAATTGTTTCGCAATTGTTGTTGAATAGATAAAAGTTTATCTATTTATGTCTAAGCTGAACTTTGAACTCTGGCCCAGGTAAAGCACGTGTCAGTGGTGCCATGATCCTCTAATGTCTATGGCCGTGATGAGGGCGTAAGGTCCTATAAACAAACAAAAGGTTTTTCCTTATTTTTGTATACGTACTTTTTAATATAACCCTTTTTCGTAGTTATAATGCTGCAATTTTTTCTGACGTACCGTTGACTAGATTCTGATTATATGAATTTAGCAGAATGAGGCTTTAGCTTCTGGCGATATGTTCGTTAGGGTCATCCATGTTATTAACAATGCACAAACATTTGCGGATGGTACATCGTGGTAATGCTGTCTCAAATTATTTTCGATGATCAGTAAAATTCCACGTTTACATCTCGAATGAATCACAATTTATTCATTATCGTTAAACAAAATTAACGTAGAAGACCAGCTTGGGTTATATAAATGCGATGTTTACTGGTGATAGGGCCAGTCGATATAATACAGGCTGCAGAAATGTCAATAGCTTGCAATACACGTTAGTGTCACATTCTATGAAAAAAGAACAAGAATTTTACAACATGAGATTCATTTGCTTTCCCCTCGCATATCGTAAAATATGGCCTATACTGGCACCTCTACCTGTAAGACTGGTGAAGTCGCAGCTGTTTTTCAGAGAGCCAAAAAATGGTCTGCTGTATTATACTGCTTCATGATCGTAGAAGACGTAGCCAAGTGGATTTGGAATTGTTTTCTTCTGTCATTTGTACCAAGGGGACATTCTGGAGACCAAACCTGATCTACTGCCCCATTGCTATATTTTGGATCTTATTTTCCGATCTCCCATTCTTGGTTTCCCTCTTGACCCCGTCCTCACATAACCCTAACTGCATTTTACCCAGTAGAGATATCAACAATAAAGATTAAAAAAAAACATATTGAGGATTAAGACCATTAAGACGATTATTCCCCGAAGGTCAGCTTGACCAAAGAGTCTATAACAGACAACATATTACATATATGGGTCGAATTGACTTCATCGGCAGAAGTGAGATAAGCCCGTAGCAATGGTTATCGTGATAATTGGAAATGTTTCAACCGTATAGAATTTCATTTATATAAACTATGAATGAAGATATTCCAAACTAATTTTGGAAGTATTATATCTATTTTATCATAGAAATCTGTTTCATTTTTAAGGTCTTAATGGGCGGAGGAAGGAAATTCTTATTACGGAACACGGATAAGGACCCGGAAAACAGAAACATTACAACGCACGGACGAAAGGACGGACGAAATTTGATACAGGTATACTCTGATCTCTAAATGTATCAGACAAAATTTGATACAGGTCTACTCTGATCTCTAAATGTATCAGACAAAATTTGATACAAGTATACTCTGATCTCTAAATGTATCGGACAAAACTTGATACAGGTATACTCTGATCTCTAAACGTATCGGACAAAACGTGATACAGGTGTACTCTGATCTCTAAAGGTATCAGACAAAATTTGATACAGGTGTACTCTGATCTCTAAACGTATCGGACAAAACTTGATACAGGTATACTTTGATCTCTAAACGTATCGGACAAAATTTGATACAGGTGTACTCTGATCTCTAAAGGTATCAGACAAAATTTGATACAGGTGTACTCTGATCTCTAAAGGTATCAGACAAAATTTGATACAGGTGTACTCTGATCTCTAAAGGTATCAGACAAAATTTGATACAGGTGTACTCTGATCTATCAAGTTTTCGGTATCGTTGCAACTGTTAGTCGTTTTAATTACTGAAAATGACCGCAGCATTTGTAACTTAAATATGACGAAAAGTGAATGACAATGTTCTGCAATTCAAAACTTGTAAATCACTTTCGGTATCAATCATAGGATACAACCATTTAAAGGACATTTTACTTGTGGAATACTCTTTTTTAAATAAATATAAATGATTATACAAACCAAAGCAAGGAACAGAACATTTAGAAACACCCTTTGTTGCATTCTCGTTAAATCCTTCGTAATTAATCTAAAATATTAGAAGAGATTCTGATAATCTCTTTTCACACTGATTATCGATTCAGCAATTTTTCTTAAATGATTCCAGCCGCTCTCTTTAAAGATTATAACTTAAACAGCTAAGATGTGATGCCTAAATCAGAATATTATAAGGGAAGTAACTCGACAAATATTTTGCTTATACTTTAGAGTTATCAAAGAAGGGTTTCAAATTTTTATAATTATATGATATTTCATAATGCAATACAATATGCTTAAAAGCATTGTTTCGACCCTACGAATGTAGTCAAACTAAAAAGAAAGCTTGTTAACAAACTTATACGTTTATTATATATTAAGAATATTTTGAAGTGATAAATATAGATAGTTTATTATATCAACAGGAGTGGATTAATAACAAACAAGAAAGAAAACTTTCCCATCGTTTTGTATGGAATCTGACTGAATTCAACTCTGTCGACCCAACCAAAACGGACTACTTACTGGGTAAGGAAACTTCGATATTTTTTTTTTTTTTTTAAATTGATTTATTTTTTCTTTGTTTTTTTTTTTTTTTTTTTTTGTTTTTTGTTTTTTTTTTTCCCCACAAAATGTAGTTTTTGGTATGTGATTGATGCATGTGATGATTACGAGAAAAATATACCGTATAACTGGTATTTTTTGCGGGTCAAATCTTTCGTGATTTTCATTTAAAACGTCCGAATTACAGTTTTAACAAAGTTTAACTTCGCGGCACTGGATGTATAAACGATATCTTGTACATAAATGTCTCATTATTTCAAGGACCAAATTTTCGCGATCACTCTTATGTACCGAATATGTAGCGAAAATAGCCCTGCAAAAATAACCGACTATACGGTATTCAATGCACAAAAGCAAGACCTTTCATGGATCGACAAGGACCATGTGGATGTTTTTAACTGACCCGACCTACTTTGTCATCAACGTAAAAATAAGATTTAGATAGAGTCAGATAATAAATTAAACTGCATCAGGTAAGTTTTTTCACCGGAAGTGGATTATGCATAAAGTCATACAGATAATAATGATTTTTTTTATTACGGCTCGTCAGTTTCGGAAGTATTAAACTGGTTTCTAACAAAAGTATTTACACAGGATGTCGTGCGTACTCAGTTTCATATGATGTGCATGTGTGTCTATATTCGTATCGTTAACAAAATACTTGTTATGCAGTAACAATACAGCATTAAAGACGTAAAAACAAAATTAATTTTAAAATTGTTTTCCCTTTATGTTTTTAAATACTAATGTCCATCGCGTGTTTTGACAGACGATACGTAAACGTTACGATAGTTTTAGCATAAGTGTTAGTATAAGCGATTTTGAACGCATATGATATAAGCCTGTCGTGTGTAAGCGTGTCTACTAAACAGAAAAAGTAACAGTCTTAAGTTACGCTTATCTTGGCCTTATTTTGCCTTCAAAATATGCCTATTCATTAGACATAGCTCAAAGGACAAGAAACTTGCATCTGTGTGCCGAGAGATACCGCGGACTACACATATTTTTGCTTTATTGTAGATTGAAATATCGAATTATGAAAAATCTTGACAATTACTTTTTAAATTTCGTATTATGAAATACTTCCGGATGATTTTTTTCATGATCGCTTTGTTGTGCTTTTGATGAATTCAGGATTATTTGAAGCTGACCATATGCAATATGAAGTTGACAGAGAGGATCCGGCGTATGAGACAGCAGGGGAGCCCTCTCTAGCGGAGATGACGGGAAAGGCTATACAGATACTACAACGCAACACCAAGAAGGGTTTTTTCTTACTCGTTGAGGGTAAGGATTACAACGCTTAATGTAAACATTATATTATACAACCTTACGTTGTCAAAACGAATGCGATCGCGTAATTTTGGTCTTGATGCAATTGTCGAAAAATGAATATTTAGCAAATTTCAAATGTGTTAAAATGTCTGTCTTCTTCAACCGATATTTCATTATGAAGGATATCCTAAGCACCAGGTAAACAGGTGCTTGAAAATCGTAAAATGAAAGCATATGCTTGTTCCAGGAGGACGAATTGACCACGCCCATCACGAAAATCTTGCTGACAGGGCATTGCACGATGTGTTGGCATTAGAGAAAGCTGTACAAACAGCAATGGACCTTACCAGTGAGAAAGACACACTGATCGTAGTCACCGCCGACCACTCTCATACGTTTGTTTTGTCAGGATACCCGTCTAGAGGCAATCCGATACTTGGTGAGAACATTTAACTTAACGAGATAGTCCTATACCTATCAAATGACACATAACTCATGAGGCAATCATTCATATGAATAGCGGCCTCACATTGCCTTATATGTTACAGAAAAAAAACCAAATTGTTCAGTTATCGAACGGTTGTTAGAGTAGCTTGTGGTGCTTCGTTATTCACTGTGGTACGATTATAATTATTCCCAACCCAACGAAGTAGCCCTTCATTCTAACATTGTCAAGGTCAAATAACAGTAGTCTGGGCCTTTTGGTTATTTGGAAGAGATCGTTTAAAGTTTAACTAAAAACGATCCATTTTTTTCAAATTTTCAAAATGGCGTTCCATGTTAACGGTTATTGTCAAAAACAAGCTGAAGACTTCATCGGAATGGAATACCCTGTCGACTACAAAAAGAATTTTTTCAAATAAAAAGAATGATAAAATTTAACCCCGGACAGTAAATACTTATTGAGTGAGTAGTGTTTTGAACGTTTGACATATGACGTCATATCGGCAATAGTGGAATTTCATTTTTGTAATTAAAAAAGACTATAAACATATCTCTTACCGATTCCGAAATTTCGACGCCACAAAATCATGGAAGAAGAATAATAATGATTAGAAACAGAACAATAACAATTGGTCTGTTCACCAGTTGGTAAAAATTCCTCACATACCTATGGTAGTGAATCTCCAAATTGTTTCTAGAAGTCTAAAGTTAGAAGTGATGTTGCACTATCACCAGTTATAATTTGTTTCATTAAGAGTAACTTTCTTGCAATTTTTTCATATCTGACTATTGGATGTTGTATTGTATTTTATTAATGAGTATAAACCATTTCACTGTTTCGTCATGCTTGGGCGGTAATAGAATCATTGATTGATCCAGCATCACTAAAATCAAATGACAAATATTCTAATATTACCATCGGGTGACAGAAGGGAATATAAAGGTATGATTTTAATGTTCACAGTACTATGCTACGAAATTATCATTATATTCATCACTTCCAACGGAACGTTAAACTGGACATAAACAAAAAAGGGTTTCAAACTGAAGTTTTCCATGTTGCTCACTTTAAATGAATATAACGAATGAATAAATGAATGATAACGACAAAATGTTGTATGTCCAGAATTATTGTCAACTGGAGTAGCCGGTATGATTGCTTGCCGATAATTATTGCTAAATACAATGTCAAATTGCATCGGGATATCTAAAAAAGTATCAGATATATTTCATCATTTAGGAAATCATTACTGTTATCGGAGAGGTTTTGTTTATGAATGACCATTATAATAATTTCTCTGAAGGTCTGGTCGATGACATGAAAGGTGGTGTCAAACTTGCACAAGATAACAAACCCTATACCACTCTCCAGTATACAAACGGACCCGGAGGACTGGAGATGCAGTCGCTGATGGCGAATGAAACTTATACTGGAAGACATAATCTCACTGCTGTTCACACTGGTATGTATTTAGAGTAATATTGAGTTAAACAGGTCTTGGTTACAATTAGCTGCCAAAGATAGATGACATCACATCATGTGACAGATGAAAATTTTAAATACTACATATTCATTGTAACTAGATTGTGTAATGGTATAGTCGGCAAAAATATCATATACAAACAGATTCACAAAAATAATTTAATTTCCATCCCGCTTTTGACAGAAGAAAAAGTAATTGATGCAACTTTTGCAACTTGGTAGTTGACTTTGCTGATACTGACATGCTGATAGAATGAGGAAGGCTTCAGGTTCTGTCTCCTGGCCGAGTCATTCAAGGATGTTTAAATATGTTAGTTTTACTCCCTGTAAAACTTTCAGTATTGTGGTTGTCAAACGACTGATTTGACTGTCGTCAATATAATTTGACGGTACGGGTGGTCCTGTTGGAAGCCTTCGCCTCGATACTTCAGGTAGCACTATAATGTCATCATCAGCCTTGCACTATCATAAAAAGTCTTAAGCAAACACATCGGGCATCCCAGACATACGCACTTAACGCATGCCCTCACTTCACAAACATATATAGGTCGTCTTGAAATGACCATAACTGTAAATAGGACGTCAAATAATATAAAACCAAACGAAATTACAGTTTGATGGAAATGAAAGTAAACCGGAGCATTGGAAGGTTGGCCAATATCGAAGAAAGCATATTCAACGCCGCGAAACAAAACTGCTTTCATGTTAATTGTGTTTTCTATGCTTACATTGTCTCATTCCTATCTGGCGTTTTCTGATACATTAATTGTACATATTCATATGAGAGATCTTTCTTGCATCTACTTTACTTCCAAGAATATATACGTACGACCAGATTCTCATATTTTGATATAAGACTTTTTTCTCCTTCAGGTTTAAAATTCGTCTGTAAAGGACGTGTTCTCCGTATTTTATTCCCATTTTACTATAAACTCATTTTTTTCCTTTTCTCCAACAGAATTTAAGGATTTTACCACACAGTCCGCAATCCCTCTAGACTACGAGACTCACGCGGGAGAAGATGTCGGTATATACGCAAGAGGACCGATGTCACATCTCTTTCAAGGAGTACACGAACAGCACTATATTCCACACGTTATGGCGTTCGCTTCCTGTGTTGGTGATTACCGAGACGATTCTAATTGCGCAGCTTCCCTGGTTAGCGAAAATACCGATGTGAATGCCGCAGAATCATTGAGAGGTCATTTGATTCATATTTGCACAGTCCTTTTTGTAATTTTATTAGAACTGCTTTGAAATTATTGCTTGTAAATACAAAATGAAAAAATGGGTCATGTTTATATCTATTTCATACGATTCCGTAGATATATGTTTGAAATATAGTGTAAAACAAGAATGGAAGACAGACTGATGAGAAACAGAGACGAACAAAGACAAACCAAAGAAACTCATTGTGTATTATAACCACAGAATATATAATTGGTGATAACATCTTACAATTATTTTTGTTGTCATTTATCAAAAAAGTATTTCAAGAAATGGCATTAAAATGGTAACGAAACAAGATAGATTAAGAATGTACTTAACTTCCAAACATTAAATATAGCTCAAATTCTACATGTATTACTGCTCAGACTCCTCTTGTGAAAACACAGGGCAATGTCACTATGTTATGATAATAAGTACCCGTCATGTATAAACGTCATTTTGTTTTTATAAAGTGAAAGCAATATATGGCAATAGAACACTGGATCAATAATAAAGATTAATTTTGCCGAAATTTGGCAAAAACGAAATTAATTTCTTCAAATTACTACGATTCGAAAATGTGTATGTAAGGAAAGCATAAGTTCAAGTATACTTCAAGTTGGTTGAAATTGCCAAGCATTTTTTTCAGAACTAATCCCATTTAAGACTGCATGTTGATGTAGGAAGTCATGAAATTATCATTTGGAACCGTTCATAACAGAGTATGGATGCATGACATTTTCTAGCAACAGGAGTTAAATACTTTGTAGTTCTTGTGGAAGAATTTCTACAAAAATAATTGAGGGCTCATATTGCCTCATACAAAATTGAGTTGATTTCGGGGAAAACTTAAAGTGGGCTATACTTTCACAGGTTATTCATTCAAAATACGTTGTAAACTAGTTAACACCTAGATTGGATAATATATTTAGATGAAATGATAAAGCTGTTGATGGAGGTGATGCTGACAAATATTTTCTAATGAGATAAAGTACATACCGATCAACGGCAATACATGAATGTGTAGAAAGCATTGTTATTTAGCAAAACATTGAAATAAAGCAAAGGAAAAATTATCAAAAATTTTCTTTAGCTACTCTCTTTTCTTACTCAAGACATATCTAGATACAGCATCAAAAACTTCTTTTAAATTTGAATTTTGTCCAAAATATAAGATTAAAATTCTTATTTTCTATTTAATGAAATCTGTAAGAATGACTTGTTTTGTTGCATTAAACATATGATATTGTTGAGCTTACGTAAATGTAGTATTATAATATTCAATTATCTGTGCACTCTTGATTTTAATACTGCCATTAGATGTTATGATCGGAATGTTTGATTTACAATAAGATATATAATACTAATTATGCAAGTTTGCTGCTAGAAAACTAAGGCAGAGTATAAACAAAGAAAGATTTTTATACAGACTCCTAAAAATATAAGAAGATTAATACGTTTGCATCATTGGCTTTGTGCATTATAACTCTTTATCGACACGTATGTGTAATGCTTTTTTATTTCAAAACTCAACACAGAAAATAAACATATTTTGAAAATTATGGTAATTCTTTCAATGATTTCTTTTAACCCGGCACTGTTTCCATAGTGTTACCACAATACACGATGCACTGACTCCTACCAAGGCGTATGAACCAGTTCGTATGTACTCAGTTGGTCATGTGACTGTCGCGTGAGACTTCTTTAACACTTTGTCTCTAAACCTTGCCGGAAAACCTGATTAACGATATTTTTCGACAAAACAAACTTGATATACAAATTAGGGATGCATTTAAACGGAAGAAACATACAGTACATTTTCAGATTTAAAAAAAAACTATGTTGCAGTGTTAATAATGCGCAGTAATACCAACAACTGCGATATCTCGACACATCATATACATTTTAAGAAAGATATCCCGACTTTTGAAATAAAGTTTAGTATATTTCATTGTTTCTTATGCAATGTAATCCGATAATATGTATTATGTTTCGAACAATTTTGAAAAAAATAACATGTGCTGTTTTTGTATGGTAATATTTAATATCATCTATTCAATTTCAACATAATAACACAAGCAAATGCGATGAAAAACACAAAATATTGTCAAATGTCAACCAATGCAGAAACTCCGCTGTAAACACTGTGACGTCATTCACAGAAATCGCAAACATATCAAAGCAAACCATGCTTATTCTACCATAAACAAAATTAACATAGAATCACTAGTTAATGAATGATTATGATATGTTTTATGGTTTGCCAATAACATACCGCGCAAAAATACAAATATATCCGCCTATGGTTTTTTTTTAATAACTTTGATTACATCTGACACATAATGCACATATAAATTTGTTAGACGACTGGAACTATAACATTATGATTTAATATGTTTTGACCTACATTCGTTTTTTCATGAATCGTTTTGATGTGTACATGGTTGCCACAATGCCCTCTAGTAAAAATGCCAAAAGAAATTATTATGTTTGAGATGAAGCCGTGTTTATTATTGCCAGAATGCCAACTACATGTATACATATGAACTAAAACAAAAAAACAACATATCTTTTTTAAGTATAAATATGTTATGCTCGTGGTTTTTGAGATGGTGTCACATTTGGAATTTTAAATAATCTACGGACGAAAATTACAGTAAATACAGATGAACAAACAACCACACAAATCTGAGCTATGGACCATTTCACTATGTAACTATTGTTTCCCATTATCAAATACCAGTCTTTCACAACATTCATACGGCTACTGGCTTGATGTAGTTTGGCCTCCTCCAACGACTTCTGTACTTCAGATATAGAATGCTACAAAAAAGCAGTTAAAACAGGTAAACAATAAGGTAAAGGCTGATAATGACATAAAGGCGAAAAACAACATTAAAATTATTTATCTACAAATTAGTTGTAAGTGTATGTACAGCACTCTTAAATAATAATGTTTCTCGTCCTTCTAGGACTGTTCTATGATGATAATGGCCAAATTTGTAATTTTTGAGTCTTGGAATGGTTTTGAATAATACAACGCTTCTGATGGGGAAGATAACATTCAATTTTTTCCATGACATGTGTATTTCATGGCATTAATGATAATATCTGAAAAATGTATAAGATTACCAAAGGTTTTTAATTATTATACATTAAGATTTTGAGAAAATGTTTGCCGACGATATATCCAGTAGATTATTGTGTTTTAAACATAAAATAACCAGCAACGTCGACACGAGACTGTCTTAAAAATTATCTAACTTTGTACAATTAGCATCACAATAGCAAAATATCAGCGAAAAGTCAAGTCTTAATCGTCCAATCATTTCTCAGTGTAATACAATTATCGTTATATTTTTGTACTTTTTTATGTTAAACAACAAAGTTTCACAATGTTTTGATTATGAAATTGACGAACCGTAAAGTTGGAAACAGTCATATCCATGTCTTCAATCTCCTGGACGTACTTTGTCCACTCAGCAGGAACAAAAGTAATTATGTACACATATACTAATTTAGAGGCCATCCTGCTAAACGTGTTATCCACGCATATTGTATAAACACCTGAAAAAATATCGAGAAACTTATTAATTAATCATCTTGTGGTTAAATGATATGAATTCTAAAGTAGGAGACGTTTGTGCTTATAGATAATACAGAAAACCGCGGAAAGATACATATTTACGTACAGTTGATGATAACGTAAGTAGTTCCGAAGGTTATTTTTCAGTATCATTTCCAAAAGAACCAAGTTTACAAATATCACAAATGGTGAGGATCTAATCTTATGCAAATTTGGTTAAAATAAAAATAAACAAATGAAATTGAATTCCCACACATTCATATATTCTTTAGATAAAATATGACATATGTTTTAGATATTCAGCAGAAACCTGTAATCTAATTCAGCATATTTAATGATTGTATATTCCATTAATTTAAAAGCCATTAACATAAACTTATTATGGATCACTCTATTTCGAAATATAATGATTTACATATGATGTATTATGGCTGTAAGTAATTCAGTTTCCTGATATACAGAGTAGAACATATAAAATATTGTTGGAAATTGACAAATATTTATAGTTGTATAATTTTATTACTTTGACTGAGAAATGAGCTAAATTCCTGCAGCAATATCGTCAGGAAGGTGAGCAATTACGACTTCGTTAACAGCTTTAAATACTATTTTTGTAATATGTCATTCTTTAATTATAAATACGTTTTCCTTCCAACTAAAAGAAGAATACGTTTCCATAACCGTTAACATTACTATAAGCTGATAATTAGAACAGAACACCTCAACGACTTCTAGCCAGTCACAACAAAACACAAAAAGCAAGCATATATAAGGTTTTAGGAAAACATGAAAAAATTAACGCATGCCACGAGGTGAAATAGGTGTGTAAAGAGGACATAAAGAAAAAATACTTTATCAGGAATATTATATAAGAAAGAATCCAGTGTATAAATCGAGTCCACTAAATGAAATCCAAATCAAAGGAGGGGAGTGGGGGGATGGATGGTCGTACTTTAGTACTTTCCGATACGAATAAAGAATGATTTCTGATTGTTAACATAAGCAGCTTTCACGGTTCCTAAAAATAAAACGGATTTGTTGGAGTAAAGATTATAAAAAGAATTAAGCAATAGAAAATATGTTAGTGGAAAATAGTCCGAACCATTAAATAAATGTTTTAAAAAGGCTGGGATGAAATATTCGGCTAAAATAAAAACGAAATCAAAATAGATACTGCATTTTTGAAACGTTACCTTCATATTCAGCATTTCTCGAAACCTTGCCTTTATTTTGACCATATATACTACTTGAATCATTTATACCACCATCAGGGTCTTTTAGAAAAACATTGACTTCCTCAGAGTGACTATTAAGTACCTAAAACAAAAGGAAGCCATGCAATCTATAAGTTAGTCTTCTAGTGTTGATATTTAGACAGACATTCCACAAATGCTTATATCTTGTCTAAGCATTCTGGTGATGTTGGTTCCATAAAAAGTCGCTGAAATACTGTCAGGATTTATTTCTTTTTTTTCTTCCTCAAACAGCTATGAAAAATACACCTATATGGCTTTTAATACTCGTCTGGTTTGGCTTGGTCACACTTTAAAAAATTACCCCTGCTTCTCGTATTCCTTAAATGGTGCCGGAGATTTATACAAAAGAGAATCCAATCAACCTTCAGACAAAGTTAGTCGGTTTACCTCCATGAAGAAGGTGGTCCAGACACATCACTTTTACAAAATTGAGTCTTCCTCCCCTAAAGATGTTTCAGACACAATTTCAAAATCCGCCTTGTAATTCAAGCCTAGTGAATGATGATGGACGCGGCGGGACGAACGGACGACGGACTCCACGCCATGTAATAAGCCCACCAGTCATTAATTAGATCAATGTTTGGCCTTTAAGATATTTCAAATTATTTTTTCTTATTTATTGAATTTTAAATATTTCAAATTATTTGTTCTTATTTATTGAAAACATTAACGAATTTATTTCCAATTAAAATACGGTTTTGTTTACACATCAGTATTTTTAACAACAAGATGAAAAAAGATACCTGTCTTGAACGCAACACATAACAAGAACACATCGCCATCTAAAGAAAGTTTTCATCCAAACACAAAATCGTTGAAATGAGAGCAATATATGAACTATACACAATGTAAACGATAATAATTGCTGCAGTACAAGCATGAATCGGAGAACATGGTAGGATTATCCGACACTTGTCTAAAAACCTGGTAGTCTGATAACTTATAGTAAACAAAAAATAACAAGAATTTACTATGATGTCAAAAATAGGTCAAAATATGAACAAAAGAAAGATTTACACAGAGACTCATTACAGGTACAAGAATAAGACCATATGTACCGGAAGGGTAGGCATCGCCTGCTCTTATATCAATCCAAGTAAGTTATGTCACGTTCCCAAATGAGAATAAGGTATACAGCAATAGAATCAAGAGGCAAACAAACGAGCATCAAACACGTCCAAAGAAATAGAATATTTCCAAAAAATCACTATGACAAGCGTTAAAAGCTCGCATATTCTAATACATTTTTGACCATCGGTCAGTCGGGGTTGCATTTACATCGATAACATATAAGAAAAAAATGACTCACAAATATAACATACTATTCTCGTATTGGGAATTCCTCAAAAGACTATATATGATAAAAGAATTATGATCATCCCCAGTTACAAAATGGCATTATTATTAACATGAAGTGATAATATATTTAATGTCATTAATGTTAACATATAAGGAGTGATTAATTAAAGCCATATATAAAACAACTTTTCTTATTACAAATACAGTAAAACTTTGTCAACTCGAAATTTGATAACTGGAAGTCTTTCTGTGTTTCCGATATTAGTGATTTATTCTATATCATCATCGTTAATTTAAGCTGACATACTAATATCAACAATTCATAAGTCGCAGGTTATCGTAATTATGATCGAACTAAAACCAGTTTCCCATCAATCCATTTAGCTTCGAGTTACTAGGTCGAGCTGTAAGTTAAATATACAGAGCTCCCTTACAAATATAAAAGAAAACTGTATTGGAGCAGCCATTGTTTACAATCACTGAATGTCAACTTTTTAATTTTTTTTTTTTTTTTTTTTGTTATTTTGTTTTTTGTTTTGCTCTGATACACCAATGCGTAAGGGGATTTCCAATGGAATGTAGGGCAGGAAGTTGGAATGGGACAGAAAATCAATTATTATATATAGTCTTTTGTCCAACACCTGCAGTACACCAACATAAACCATACATTTATGATACAGTGTGATGCAAGACAATAACACGTCGAATGATAGTCGGTCTTATTCTTTTACAAAATTCCTTATCTTCGGGAAAATTTTAAAAATATGAAAATTGTTCAGCTGAAATCATTCGAGGCTTTACTTAAAATGTCGTCACTAATGCTTTATCAAATACGTATTTCATGACGTTTTGTAGCGGTACGTACATGAAACCAGGTTATCAAATAAAATCCTCTCGTTAATATTTGAAAATTAATTGATTAGGACGAATAAAATGCTAACTTTCCACTTTGTTATATATAGTCAAAAATCATATTATCGTTACCAGCAATTTCTACAAGATGCTGAATAACGATTTCCGGTTTGCCATAGTGACCTTCCACGATAAAATTAGTGGGGTTCCGAATTACCACGTCGATCAGCCTCTCAGTACCACCCCTAAGGACCTGAAAGTCAATACCACAGATGGGTCAGTTTATAATCCATAAAGTAACTTTGTTCACAGATTGCTAATTACTATTTCATTTGTTTGCTTTCTGTAACTGGCTTCCTTTGTACTTATTATTTTTTAAATGCGATAATCACGTAGTGTAAAAAGTGTCCGGTTCTTTGAATCATAAAGAAAATTATACATTATATTCAACAAAATTAAATACAGAAGTAGGACAGGCCACCAAGACATAAACAGGAAACACGTGTCTATGATAAAGTAAACCAATTAAACAATCAAAGAATGTCGTATTTGTTATAGGCTATAATTGTTATTCAAAAATTTCAAATGAAATAAACGAAATGACTTGTATTGACTTAAGAGTTTGGCTCAAAGCATGAATATTTGGGTATGCGTCCCTAATTGTTGTAAAATGAAAGTTACCAAGGTCCTTGAAAATAAAAATCTGGAGACATGTACAATCACTATTGACGTTGCTTAAATTGCTAAAATGTAACTAAGAATCATCAAGGACATTATCGCCATACCAAGTAAATAAATATATGGAGGCATGTACAATCAAAAATGACATTGCTTATCTTGTTTACATGTTACCAGGAAACAACAAAGGCAATATTGCCATATCAAGACAATCCTAATTCAATCTCCAATCCGATGGAAATCGAGTAAACCATGAATAACTCACTAAAAAGTATCAAGAGAATACGACGAAGTGTTCCAGAAGAGTTATCGGTTTTTGCTCCAACGACAACCGCCATGTAAATATTTGATCAAATCAAGGAGGTCAAATACTACACACTATTTGTGTAGCGATAATTTGTGAAGACTTCTATGCAAATTGATCGTGACGTTCGTCATCCATTCGATAAACAATTGCAATTATCACTATTTTTGTCAAGTCGCTTGTGTAGTTGATAAAACCTAGTTATCGTTAGCACTCCCACCAGCTCTAACAATAACGAAATCTTAATAACGCTTCTTGGAAAAGAAACTGAAGATCACAGGGACTTCGTGACCCTCTCTCGCTCTGTCTAATTATTTCATTTTACGTCTTGAAATGTGTGACAAACAAATTGATGTAACAAAACAATTCCGTCGATCAAAGGTCAGAATTTCTGGGTTTGTCTGTTCAGGAGTCTAATACAATTTCAAAATTATTAGAGAATGCCTCTGATCCCCCAAGCTGGATGCGGAATTCATTTGTATAACAAATTCCTTAAAACAAACGATTGACAAGTTTCGATAGCCTGATGAAAACGGAAATCATGAAATAATCATAGTTTACTATCGAAACTTGTCGTTATGATAAAGGAGACATTAGATTATTCACATAGAAGATGCAAATTGCTGATGACAAAATTTCGAATGTTAATGATACGTTGATATTGAGTAAAAAATTATACAGACGTGCGAAACACAAAAGAGAAAATATCATTTCTACAAAACATACATTTGATAAATATATTTATATACGTCTCCAGAAATATAATTACAGCCAGGTTTAATGCTTTAGATAATGAAGAAGTTTAAAATTTTAGACTGGATACAGGAGGATATAAACACAAGTCAAGCAAGAGGATACTGAAATGTAGACAAAACCGTATTTCTTACTCAGCAAACATACAAAATGCATGCTGCGTATAAATGGAAGATTCTAAATATAGAACATTCGGAAACATGAAAAGGGAGCAAAAAGCATAGAACTTCGAAATGTAGAGCCTGGTAGACGAAAAACGTAAACCTTATCATCACTGATGAGCAATAGCAGGATGAATTAGCTGTTTCATACAGTTCAATATTTGGTTCTACTCTATCTTATTCAATTTGTATTAAAAGGGTTATTCACGTCAGTGTCTTTTCTTCAAGCATCTACTCGAGCTGCAATAATAAAACTATTTTCCTTTCCAAAACAGGAGCTGTATAGTAAAATCGAAAACTTTCTACTGGTCATCGAACACATTGTTTTTCATATTGAAATAACATATTTCCCAACTTTTACTTTTCGTTGTAATATTCATTAATTTACTGTCTAAACATACGCAATATTCATGATAGCTCGAAATGATGTCATATCTTACATATCTTACTTGTTATTCGACCGAAATCATGTTCGAGTGGACATGAAATTTTACCACTACATCGACAAACTTCAATTCCAAACGTTATTCCAAATATTATGTTACTGTGAAAACCGTCTGTCTGATTGAGTTGAATTATACGATACAAAACAATTTAAATGATGATTATGTTACTAACATGATAGGTTCTTCTTTACGTTTTTCTTCTTTTTTTTATTTGTTAAGCTGTAATTATAATATTGATGAACGAAAGAAAGTGGAATAGAATGCAAAGAACAAAAAAACGTACTTTTATTCTACGTCAAAAACGAAGGTAACACAGAACACAAAAGAAAGATAAACACAGGCACATTTCAAACAATATAAGAGAAATGCAACCATATGGAGGATAAGTATTTTCGTCTTGATCAACTTTAAATGTAGATAATGTTTTATACATACATTCTATCCATAAAGCATGATTACAGTATCACAATAACTAATATTAGCAATGACTGGTAACGGCTTTTATTGTATATTTTTGCTTACAATGTAAATACACATCAAGTTTATATATTCACACAACAAAGCACTAGCTCTAATAGAAAGATAATAATAGTGAAAGTAATAGATTAAGTTACGTCAACATTATTCCGTCCTTGACATTATTTGACAGCAATGGTTTGTAGATAAAAACAATCAAAGGGGACATACGTTCCTATTCGTCATGGATCTTGAAACAAAGTTTCAACTTCGTTATCAACTTGTTGCCGGTATATAATAAACACTGTATACAGTAGTGACCTAATTCTCTACCTGAGTTTTCTACATGAAAATATCATATATAAATGTGGTATTTATCAACGTTGGAAACATATACCAAGGTTTATGATATTGACATCTCCAAAACTCTTAAACTAGTGTGAAAACACGTGTTTTTCACATTTAACATCACCATCTGTACCCCCTTTCATTTCTCATGACTTTAATTGTGTCTTGGACCATCTTGCTGTTTGACCGCTGTTTGACTTAGACAGTTTTTCTAACACCTTAATGTAGTTTAGGTTATCTGTATATTACGCGGTGAGTGCTGAAAACAAAGTTTTTGCCTAGTACCATAGACCCGAGTGTTCATTCAGAAGGGTATAGATGAAAATCATTTTTCTTACATGTGATGACAGATAAAAAATTCTTGTTTTTTTCTTATCTATTGTGAAGTTGTTAATCTCTGACGATATCACAGAAACAGTGATCTGAACTCTGCTATATTATTCAAACATCCCTGTTTACTGTTTACTACATAGATCTTGATAATTTCTTTACTGTTAATACAATCTTGTATATTGTCTTGCCAAACGCTTTCCTAAGTTTATATTTCCTTTCTTAAAGATCGTGTTATTTCTTTATACCGTCTTTTACAACATTTTTTAATTTAATGAATGGTTGAACGATTTAATGAATTAGATTATTTTCTCTGTTACATTTATATCAACAACATGCCGCTAATGGTTTGATAACTAGCACATGTACAGAGTATCTACAGACATATTACCAGATATACGTGTAGGTAGGTCAAACTGTCCAGTAGACTGTGCTAAATTTGATGATATTACTAAATAAGTAGGGTCCTTTAAGAAAACGTCAACCAGACGATCAGCTCCTCTTAACACCTGCAAAAGATATAGTTATTGAAAAAAATCCATATGTCTGTGTATATATACACCATTTAAAAGGAACGATTATCCACTTATACCGCTTAAGACAGAAGAGATGAAATGTTCCCTGTATGTTTCAGCGTATGAAATGTCAAATTGATATAATATATCTACGCAGGACATATCTATTTTGCCTACTATGATTTAAACCGAGTTTTGGATAAGAGCAATTAGCATGCAGGTATAGCCTCATAACAAGCAATACCCATTAGGTCTTATTATATGTCATATATTTATACTTAATTCTGAAAGTTTTTGGAGATAAAGAACATGTATGCATAATTAATAAAAAATGGCATCAATGCCCCTTTACGATTTATCATCTAATTATGCATTGTTACTAATAAATCTTATTTCTACTTATGTTCCTAAATGGCAAGTATTTTTATCACTCATTATAAATTTCAATCTTAACCTTACTCTTGAATTCTAACTTTGGTCACATGTTTTAAATATAATATCTTTTTTTTTAAGTATTCAAGACTTCGCCTTTTAAGTCTGTAAAAGATCACGACTTTATAAAGCACAGTAATAATATACATAATATCTCCGGACAGGTCTCTTAAACTCTTTGCCGCAGTGATGAAGTTTTATGGTAACACATGTTTAATACAAAACACAGGTAGGGATTTACACCTGTGTAACGAATAATTCAAAAATCGTTATATCTGGCCGCAGCTGCTACAGCATATATAACAAACCCGAATGGTATCATTGATACAAAATGTTAATCAATAAAGCATTTATATCAAAATAGTAAATAAAGGCATTCATGACTTGCCATTTTGATTAGAAATTATGTAAATGGTGGACTCTATGCCCCTGAGATCATGAAATACTGAAGGACATTTACTTCATACATTGCGAAATACGATTAATTTTAGTATACATGTTTAAACTCATTTATTCCAATTCGTGTTTTTTGTTAAGATTTATAATGCTTCAGTTAATATATAATCTATATAAATCGTGGGTGTGAAATGACCATTAGCAAAATAATATTTTACTGTAATAAAATCCTATCATATATAAACTATGTATTTTTAACTTCAAGATGTAAATTTGAGTTTACATATATGTAAACCACATATTATCACTTACAATTGACGTAAATGATATTGCCTAGGGAACACACAAATGCGTCATAACACCATGACAGTCACCTGAATTTTGTAGAATACAAGTCTAGTATGGAAATTCGATAAGAACAGTACCACTTCCATAGGGAAGAAAGAAGCAAAATAATATTGAGCAAATAGCAAATCGTTTAATCATTATGGTACAATATATTGACCCTAAGATAACTAAACCTTCAAATCAGTAACTTATTCTGGAATATCAAGACTGAATACAACATCCCTCCACGCCTACCATATCTTTGTAAGGCATTTGTTTTGTAGAAAAAACAGTTAAGGTGTTTTATCATTTATATTCTATGCCTGCAGCGAAATGTATTTACATTGATGTGACTAAATATTACGTGGTGTGCATTCTTTTGAAGCTGCGCATTTACCTGTTTTAAGGATGAATCAGACACTGCTATTTTCAAACAAGTAGTTCTATTTACATTAGTGACTGGTATTCTTGCACAAGCCTTATCTCCACAAATGAATATTGATAACTACGCATATTTAGTTTGGTTGGTTTCATCTAGAGACAATGAAACGCACGTGTAAATATAGTTGAGACAAAATCCTAGTTTATGAAAATATCCTTCTATAACTACAAGCATCACAATACCAAGAGGCAACAAATGGGTAGTGTTTATAAACCGAAAAAAGACATTAAGAGGAGTCCATTGTTTCCATCTTAAACCAATGACATTGCGATCATCGTGTGTGTCTCTTTAAATTGTAATATGGCGGGAAGACACAATAAATGTGTCTGTAATTCACCTATCTATAACATGACAAGCAGGTGAGAATAATAAAATCGTTGATCATCTGTGTGAAAGGTGATCTGAACCAGAGTTCCTGAGTTCGAAGACACGAGTCTGGCTGGGTGATTGCCCACTAAATCTTTCTTTGAAAGGTTAGACCACCCTACCTTTCTCTCACCTGGCAGTGAATGATTATTTTTTTTACACTTACCTTTCAGGGTTATACTAAAGTCATACATTGCGCAATGAGTGCCATTTACTTATGTTAAGTTTTTTGAGTTATTGAAGTGACGTCATCAATTTTTGTGGTGACGTCATGTCTTTTTCCTTGGAAAGGAAACCGCAATTAACCCATTATTAGACTTGGCCAGAGCAAGAATATAGATTATCTGTATTTCTTCAATAACAATAGAGGAAGACCCCATCATGGTATTCATTTTTATCGTTATCATTTAGGGGATAAAGAGCGCTATATGATAGAAAAGAGCGACACATTGTAGTATTATTTCTCCCTTTCCTCTCGCTTGGGTTATTTTAATTATTCTTTTAATAACTTTGCGAAAATTTTTAATGAAGCTATATGCTATTTAAAATTTTCCATATAGTTTTTTCCAGACAATTGCAAAGTAAATCCTGTGAAAATGTAACACTTCAGAATGTAAAGTCCTTTTTTTTATTTGTTTGATATTGATGTGTGTGGATTACTACTTTGTTTAAGTTATAACTTGCCCATTAAACCTTCTTCTTCTCTTGATTTTCCTCTGCAGTGTTTACTCATTTCATGTTCTATACACATAGGTTTCTTTCAGATAAGTAGCTCCACAAGTCTTAACGAGTTCCTTGCCAATGTAACTGGTCTTTTGAGATTCATCTTGCCAGCCTTAATCTTACTGGGGAATGAAATACGAGAACAATTATTTGTCTCATTAAAAATCACGTGATCAAATGGTGCTGCCGGCCATTTTCTTCTTTTTGAAAGTAATTTACTCAAGACGCATGATGAAAAGGAAAATTACAGGTTATATAAGATGTACTAGATATTTAATGATTTAATGATTTATGATATTCATAAAACGAAATATTTCTCTGCTGTCTGGGGAATTTTTGCTCTGTTTACGAATCCTCTTGTCAGAATCTCCATTAAATTATAATTATCAATAATTGTTCTTCGTCTTGATTTTACTCTGTAACCTTTTTCACGCTGCTGCTTTTGTGTGTGTCTCATTTTTATTTGACGGTTGAATATAATCTGAAAATTTCTTCTTTTTTGCTTAAGTCTAAGGTAAACACTTTCTTTCAAACGCATGCTTGACCAAGACAAATTATCATAATGTTTAAGAACTCTAATAAACATGTAACTTCCACCTGTTCATTTTCGTATATCACAGATGTCACTAAATATGCAGCAGTGAAATACTGAATACTAAATGAGATGACATATACCTTTTAATCCTATTTAATATTTATCGCGTGCTATCCTGCGTCACGATAGAGGTCAAATGTGGCTTACATTGGAGAGTAAGAAACCCTTGTCCGACATAGTGTTCGCGAAAGGACGGCCTGTAATATATTGCAGTGTTATCACGTCCGTGACATCACAAAAATCGCGACAGTGTCAACAGCATATATTGGTATCCATGTTTTTATCTAGAATGTCGACGTATCGCCGAGCTCCAGTTTTACTACGTTGTTATCGTCCAAGATAGACTATACTATTGGTAAACATGTGTATGATTCATAGATGATATTAGGTCTACGGATGGGAATAAAAAGGAGGATTGAAGATTTATATAAATAAATGCACATATATAAAACTTAAAAAAATTATTTGAAAAACTGTATTAAATATCAAAAGACCAAGCAAGTTATTAGACTCATTTATCATTGACAAATGTATGCAAAAATACAAACATCACAGGTCACGTCTGATCGGAAAAGGATTAGATATCGGACAGGTTAAGAATAATTCGTATACAAACCTCGAAAGACATGTGTAGGTTTGCCCCTTCCGCCACTTTCTGATGAAAACATTCTTCTCCTCCTGCCGGCACTTCAATCTTAAATTCATGTTGCACACCCGGCAAGCCATCGAAATCGAATTCATCATAATCTGCACCCGACGCAAGTCTACTAGAATACAGGCACGCGCACCAAAACAATAGTTGGAATACTTGTGTAATGTGTATGGTAGCAGCCATGTTTGAAACGTATACGAGTACAGGTTTACGTTTCAATCTCGTATCTTAGCCTTATCGTAAGTCCCACACATGGCACTGTTGTCATTTTCACACAGTGCTAATTCTCGTTTAATCGATACCATACACGCATAGTCCTTTTTTCAGGCACACCTGTTTATAAAGGTAAACCTAACACATTTATGATTAATTCGTGTTTACAGTACCTGTATTTTCACATCATTTTTTACATTCTAATATCAACGTTAACATATACTATAGTATGCATTCCTGTGTTTGCGCCTACATGATAGGGATATCTGGACCGTTGTATTTTTTCCAGATCGCCGTTCTCCTTCTATTTCAATTTTGTAAATATTTTGTCAATAATGTAATGACATAATTTTACAAAAAGACAAAAAAAACCACACGCACACACACACACACACACACACACACACACACACACACACACACACACACACACACACACACACACACACACACACTCACACACACACACACACACACACACACACACACACACACACACACACACACACACACACACACACACACACACACACACACACAAACAAATAGTATATATGACACAATCTTACTGGGGAAGCGAACTTTGTATTCATTTTTTTTTCTTTAAGATAACCTGTATTACAGTTGCAAGATGACGCTTCCAGTGTGTTTACATTTTCCATGAATTATGTAAAATCGTTACAAAAGCTCATCCTGGATTTAATTATCTGTTAGTAGCTGGTCACGTGTAATTAAATGAAATACGAAAAAAATTATTTTAACATTTTACTACGATTCAATGATAATTAAAAGAAAAGGCAATACAAACATATTTTCACTCGCAAATTAAGAAATAACCTTTCTAGTCCTTGTGTATTACTTTTTTTTAAATAATATGAAGTCTTTGATCAAGCGAAGACCGGAAATATAGGATAAAATCCAGTTTGCATATTAAAATAACTCATTTAAATATGTTGTATTTTTCTCATATTGGTCTCATGAAATCGTCTTTGTGGGTGTAGCGTCATTAGCATACACGGTGCTGATTCACTTAAAATTCAATGCAACCTATAAAAGCAACTTATCGAAAGGTATTCACATTTAAAATAACCAGCTACGAAGCAATATTTTCGCAAATAATTAAAAGGAAAAATAAAGCTGAAATATCGGGAGATTTTGAAGCTAATGGGTTCTGGTGTAGTGAATCTGTTTTACATACGTTCAATATACGTTAACTTTCTCATGATACACAATGATATCATCTAAACATAGTTAAAACAATTAGCTGAACGAGTGTGGAAACCGAATTTGATTGTCACAATTTACAAAATGTAATACCCGACATTACTTTGCTGTCTGATTCCGTTAATATTCTTAAAGTGGCGTATTTTGGAATGAATGGAGTGAAACACCGCGTCTAAGATTTGTTCCTGTTGTATATATAGAATACAAAAGCAGGATTTCAACACGTCTTCAAAGCGAAGCCAAGTGTGATTTTCCTGGCAAGCTTGGGTTGTCACATGAACAAAGCTCCCAAAGGTAGTGTTCTCATTGACCCTATATTCCTAATCGCCGTTAAAAAGTCGAACGTGCTTAGTCCGTTACGGTCTTGAGGTTTCTGTGTAGATTGTAAAGCTTTGTTTTAGTCTGTGGTATACATTAATTTATTTCCTTTCTTTTCTGTTTTGATGTTAATCTATATGCGTGGTTACAACAGGCTTTTTTAAATCCGTTTATTGAATTTTTAATTAGTTAGCGTAAATTGCATGCGGTCGATATGCGGTATGATCTAGGGACACTAAGTATGGGTGTCATTCACATTAGTTTATGAAGACATATTTAATATAACTTCGAAAATTAATGACATCACGACAATATTTGTCCTCTGTCCTCCTTATACTGAGAACATTCTGTTTTTGTATTTGTGCACATCGGAAAAAATATTTCCATAATACCAAACCCTGTAACAAACGTCCCCCCCCCACACACACATGCACACAATACCATCACACACACACACACACACACACACACACACACACACACACACACACACACACACACACACACACACACACACACACACACACACACACACACACACACACACACACACACACACACACACACACACACACTCACACAAACACACCCTCTCACACACACACACCCCACACACACACTCACACCCACACACACTCTCACACACACATTTACATTAACGGAACGAACTGATTTAATATCTTTGGTGTACAGTAGTATCACATCTCTTTTCGTTAGTAACCTGTAGATAGGGCGGCTATAATTTCACTACTGTACCCGTTCAATCCTCTCTCAAACCTATTTTTTCTTTCGTCCTCGTAACTGACTCACGGTTTGCCACTAGATAAGGGTTCGTCCGGGGGGTAGCTTGCTTGTTGGTTCCGTTGTTGCTATCCTTGTTTTAATGTCAAAAAGTGACATCACTTACTGTTATTTACATAGAATTACGGTTGTCATCGATGAAGAAGAGGTTCCCCTTCCGCAATATTTGGTCTTAATCTCCTTGTATTTTTTTTCTAAAATCTTTTCTTTTATATTTTGCCCTAGTTTATTAAATTTGATTTTACCAAGTTTCTGCTGACATGTAGATATTTTCTTTGTTGTCCTAATATTATTCACAGCAGAGCTGCAGCTGACTTTGCATTTGATAAAGATTATTTTATTCCGCCTTAAAAAGGCCAACTGTGATACCTCATTTTGTATCAATAGTGAATATCACTCAGGAACAGACGCATAGCAGGTAAATCAACGATACAAATATTCCTCGCTTCAGGCAGATTTCAGGTAAGAGTTCCATTTTACAACATGAGAGAAGAGCACTTCGAAAGATATTAATTCTACGATGATCATAAATGATTATCAAAAGATTACAATTTATTACAGAAAACTCCTACAGAGATGTCATTATCAGAGTGTGCATGCTGCAGTCAAAGAACACTATTTGATTATCTCAATCATAGCACTGGTAACAGCTCTTCTAACGAAATTAAGTGAATTATGGGGTTGATGCACCTCCCCGTATAGATATTAACCTTCTTTGATCACTTCGGATTTTCCTCAGTCGTCTCCTGTATTAAAAAACTGCTTATCACTTGTGTGTCTTTTGTACAATCTTTAAAGCAGATGACGGTTTGTTATATCATAGAAACACATATCACCCCAGACAGGGATCGAACAGCACATCTTGGAACAAACCCGTTATGTTAATCTTGATCAGTCCATGTAAATCGAAACGTCTTTTATCACTTCATCAGATATATACGATAACCAATGTTAGATACCAAAAATAAGTTATCCCAAAGTGGTTTTGACGCCCATAAAATGTATTGTCCTTATAAGTTTTATATAAACTGAATATTTGTCCATTTTATCTAATATTTCCTCCTATTATACTTTGTTAGAGATATTCATGTTTTTTCTACCGGATCAAATTTAAGCATACATAACACAGGACAAATGGGGAACCGGCATAAATCGATCCAGGATTTTTATAGAAATAACAATGAAAACTTAACCTATATGTGAAATTATGAAATAAAGAAACAAAATAATAATGTGCGACCAGGAACCACTGGGGGTAGGATTGGGGCTTTCATATGAAATTTAAGTTTTTAGCATTTCTCAAGAAACATCGGTAACAACTACTGAACAAGGCAGACAACGGCCCACGGACGAAGGCGAATCTGAACAGCCCACTTGTTTTATGGAATAAAATGTGAAAACTTGCAGCCATTATTTTTTTTTAACATATTTACCTGAGCTCAAATGTCTCGCTTTATGTGGGCTCAATCTTAAATGATTCTGTTAGTTTAAACAAGATAATGAATTTCATGAGAAAAAGATATACCAAAAATCTTATGTCAGCATCCTAAACGGATCAGACAGACATTTCGAATGATTATCATTTTTCGAACATTCATGAGGTAATGACAACATATTATTTATGTAGGTATTATCAGTACATATTGCTTCGGTTTTTATCTTTGATTTTCTGCTATAATCGGAAACGAATTGACACATGGTGGCTTAACTGTGTGGACGTGTTACGGATTGGGCTGCTCTTACTCAAACATATTTGTGCTCTTCTAGAGCAACTTATAAGACCGGTTGGTTTCATCACAGTACTCCCGACGTACGTGTCTGAAATTTCTTAATGTATCTGTTCCTTCTACTGAAAGTAGTCAAGCGTCTGACCCTTTTGCAGCAGTTCGAGACATCTGTGGAAACTCCCTCGGAGTTAAGATACCAGACAAAGCAATATCAAAAAGTCACATCCTTGGTCCAATCAAAAACAGCAAGACCAAAGTCATTGTCCGTTTCGTGAGATATTACGACAGTCAAAAAGTCATTCCACCTTAGTGCCAAATATCTCTATTATATAGTCTGACGTTTGTGCATGCACGATTATATTTGTTTTTTTTTTACCATGCCAGACAATACGATGATCAAAGTTTGATGTATATTTTACTGCTTGGTGAGTTTCAATTATTACGTGTATTTTTTTCCGAATGAAAAATATGCGGTATAGGTGAGATTGCATTGGCTTGAAAGCGACGACATTTATGTCTGTGTTGTACTATATATGTTGGAGCTTATCCGGCTTTAATGTGAATTTAGAATTTTGCATATATGTGTATGCTATATATGTGATTCTGCATATTTGTTTTGAGTGTATATGTATGTCACGAGATGTGGTAATGTAAGGATGTCCAAATTGGTGAAAACTAGCAAACCCACTAAGATGTGCCAACAATATATACATATATTTACAAACCAAACAAAATAACACATTTACAGAAAACACTAATATCCACGTCGCACACTTCACTACCTCTCATACCTTAGCTCCCAAAGACACTTAAGCCCCAATTCTCAGATATGCTAAACTATACCTATACATGGAACATAAAATTGATGACGCGATATGTGAAAGTCTTTTCTCCGTGAACAAAGTTCATAATCCGGTTTACACTTTGAACTCCATCCTGTTCCGTTTATGGAGGTCACAGTATAAATGGTCTCCTCAATCCCGGGCAAGGTCAACACAAGGTCACACTTTTCTCCAAGCAGGCCTTAATATTTTCAGTACCACATTACGAGGTTACCTACAAGGCACAACCAGCGATATACAATACCTATCTATTCTGTACATATATTTACGTCTATTTGATCAATCTAACATTATTTAACGTACCAAGCTCCTGTTCACAGGATTATAACCTTATCCTGTTATTTATATACAGAATATAACCACTACATAATCATCCCTTCCAAGAGACATTCTACACACGCTTTTATATTAAACCCCACTGGATAATAAACACACAATATACATTTCATCTACTTAGTATACATCCTATACATTATATATCTACTAACAAACTCAATATATATCTACTAACAAACTCAGTTTGATAATACTCACATCAACTCCCAGGTAGCTTCATCCGGAACACTCCTACAGAAATATGGCACACAGCCCAAAAGAGAGTCCTATTTTACAAAGACATTGCACACAGCCGCTTGGACACACAGTCCTGGACAAAGTAGAGGGCACACAGCCCAAGTACAGCTTACAGTCCCATGGACACACAACCATGGACAAACACCGCTTCGAAACACACAGCTTAGAAAAACTATTTACAAGCACACAACCATTAGCACCCAGCTAACAAAATTGTCATGCTGGACAGACACCAATCCTAGGCTCTCCAAAAGCCAACATCATCTGGAAGTAGGCAAACAGCCCTCCCAATAGTACTCTGTCAATACATTGAGCCCAGCCTAACACAACCTCCACCGTCGAAGTTCTGTCTGATACTCCCCAACCCCACCTAGGGTACCTGACAAAATACCTGGCACGTGCATGCTCAGCACAAGTTCCTCAACTTACCTGAGAAACACCCAGTAAATACCTGGCCTGGTCTAACCAGTTTTCTGACTTGCCCTGCGGACAGCACATGCATTACAGGTGTATGAATGCACCGTCACAGTTGAGTAACCTCGATAGTAAATAATAGTAACCACAGTTGCAAGGAGTATCCTGTGGCGGTCTAGGCTACTCTCAATAGAATATGTCCTGGTATACCTGGACTGGTTCAGGCTCTTGAGTCCCTGTGGCCTAATCCAAATCATCGGATAATTATATGAAAAATAACAAATATGTAACAACTTTATTTGATTTTGACATTTATGTTAACGGCAGTACTGTCATTCCCTATAATTGTTTATACCCCCTGTTTGTACAATATTGTAGCCTGTCGATCTAACGTTGTCTATTGTCCTGTCCTGCTTATGCCTTTCTGTCATATTCCCTCAGGATCCCCTTTCCTTTTTTCACCCGATCCATCCCCTTTCCTGGAATATGCATGTGCACCAGTGATGCATGTACTACTGGCAGACCTCCTACTCACTACTTCTATTTTAATGTTTTATCCACCATGATGTGTAACGATGTATTTGCATAGAGAGTTGCCAAAGAATGTTTTCATCGCAAATTATCTTGTTTACAAGTCACCTTTGGTATTAAAATGATGCTGCATTTATCATTATAAAAAATCCTGTTAACATTAAATATTCGTATGAAAGAAAGGCGTGACTGTATGATCGAGATAAAATTAAGGAACTAAAGGTAATGCTAAATAGTATTCCATGGCTAGATATATTTACAAGCATGTCTAACGTTGTGCAAATGTGCATCTTACTGAAAAATTCAAATATGCTGTAAAAAAAAATGTTTCCCCCTAAAGAAATATTAGTTAAAAGATAAAGACAGACGTAATACGAGAAAAAGAGACAGGCTTTAAAAGATAGTGTTTAATCGCAATACTGAACGTAATAGGAATAACTATAAGCAATAAGAATTATTTTAACAAAAACATAGACACAGTAATTGATAAAAGTCATCAAAATGAAAATTATTTATTGGAAACTCCTGTGTAATATTCTTCAAAAGATGGAACAAATACAGAAATATCCGCTCTGTTAGACTGTATTACTAATGAAATTATATATGACAATAACAAAAAATGTGAACTTCTGAACAATTACTCTACTTCCGTGTGTACTTTGACGGAAAACGATCTGGAAAAAGGTTTAGCATTTTTTGAAAGTCTCATTGATTCTGTTTGATCTATTGTTCTCAATGAAGTTGCAGATGTAATAAACATAAGAAAGGCGTCAGGACCTGACGGTATTAGTCACAAAATGCTTAGAGAGGTATCCAAAGAGATTTCCGTTCCTTTATCTTTTATATTTAATTATTCTTTGTCGTCATGTGTATATTCTCATCCTTGGAAAATTGCTCATGTTATGCCTATTTTTAAAGCCAATGATCCCAGTATCACCTCTTATTACAGACCAATATATTTTCTTTAGGTAAATTATTTGAACGTGTGGTTTATGAGTATACATACAATTTCTCATTTAAAAATACCAGGCAGGATTCCTACCTGGGCACTCTACTGCCCATCAACTTATCGAGATGTATCACTCATTAATTTTTTTCACTTGAAAATTTTTAATATTCTGTCCTTATATTTTGTGAATTCTCTAAGGCATTTGACCCAGTATGGCACAAAGGCCTTATCTATCAGCTGAATTAGTATGGTATGTCAGGACCACTTCTCCGATGGATAGGTTATTTGTCTAACAGAGGCAAGCAGTTTTTATTAAGAATTCACTACCTTCTTTCCAAACTATAAATGCAGGTGTTCCACAAGGTTCTGTCCTTGGACTCTTTTTCTTCCTCATATATATATATATATACACATATATAAATGATATTTCCTTTAATCTTGCTTGTCTATCTAGACACTTTTCTTATCATTATTCCTTCTCTTCTGCATCTCATTGACTTAAACATAATCGAAAATAAGCTTATTCCGATTTAAGAAAACTTGAAGTTTGGTCGAAACCTTGGCTGATGTGATTTAATCCATATAAAACTGAGGCTCTAGTCTTAACAAATCGTCCACTATCGTTTAATTCAACACTTTCTTTCCATAACACCCAATCCAAATTATTAACCATCATACACCCTAAGGTATTATTCTGTCTAATGACTGCAAGTGGAATGTCCATAGAGAATATCTTGAAAGCAAAGTAATCAAATACAGAGCAACCCTTCGAAAACTCAAACTTATCTTAAGAAAGGAACAATCTTACCTACACTAGACCTTTGCTTGAATATGCAGGGCAACCAATACTTGAAAACATTCAGCTAGAAATTGCAAGACTTGTCACAGGGATGCCCTTATTTACAAAAACAGAACTCTTATATCGTGAAGTTGGTTGGTTACCACTTCCTAATAGACGAGAAGCTCGCAAGCTTTCCTTGTTTGATCTGTATTCAATAATATGGCACCAAACTTATTACCTGATGTTATCAGTAATTTAGTACCATACAACTTAAGAAATGCCGACCTATTTAGAGAACAATATCTTCGTCTTCAACTATTGCAGAACTTTTTTTCTATCATAAAATAAAATGAATGGAATTATTTGGACGACGGTATAAAAATTCTCCTTCTATAAATTGTTTCAAAGATAATGCAACAAAAACCTATCGAAGAAAACAACTTAACTATGCGTTTGCCTCCTTTGGACAGAGAAGACTAAATGTCATATACTGTCGTCTAAGAAATTGCAGTAGTTTTCTTAATTATAACCTCTTTAAGAGCAAATCTTATCGATCCTGCCGCGTGTCAATTTGGACATCCCTGTGAAGATTGTTGCCACTTATTTATTACTTGCCCTTTATATGCTTATCAACGAGCAACTCTTCATACAGAATTATCATGATACGAAAGTGATACAATTGTTGATATTTTTGGTAAAGGTAATGCAAATATTTCACGCAATGCTAATATGAAAATTGCCACAGCAGCAAAGCATTTCATTAGAACATCAGGTAGACATCGTTAATTCTCATGATAACCCTTTCCCTTTTCCCCTCATTCTTTTTTACTTTCCTTCTCATATCTCTCTTAACGGCTTACTAAAAATCTTGTTTTAGTCTCATTAATGATCGTAACTCATATGTTAATTAAACATAAATTGAATGTATTTTCAATATTTATTATTGAGCTTCTGGTCCTTTTCAATGCAAGCAGTACATAGGTAACGATATATTCAGAAGGAATGGGTTCATCTTGGAGCAAGCTACCTATGACATAGGATGTGATGAATTTGTTCATTGAATAAATGTTTGGTGTAGTAGTCAGGTTTAATATGTGCCGTCTGTGTCGGAGGGGAACACTAACAAAACCCATATAGGCGTTTTTTTTCTCTCGATAAAACATATTAGCTGAAATTAAAAAGCAAGCCCCTGCCTTCTCCCTCTCTCGTTAGAAAAATCATATAATTTTTTTTCGATGTGGCAATGTGTATATTACAAATCTAACTTTTTCATTTTTCTCAATGTCATCATTGTTAAACGAATTTGTATTGAATTTTGGGAGAAATCATTCATAAGTTCGAAAAATATGCCGTTAAAATCCTACAAAACGTATTATCCAGGGCTTATATTTCAAATTCTTTTTTTTATGGAATAGTCATAATGGCTGTGCAGAGAAAGAAGCTAATAGTCGATACAGATGGCGGGATTGACGACAATTTTTATGATGTTGGACTCAACTGTGTATGACGTCATTGGCATCACTTGCGTCAGGGGTAATAGTGACGTAGATCAAGTTGTACGGAACGTCTTAAAAATACTCGCTGCAGCAGGGAAATCTCATGTAAGTTGTCTGTTAGAAGATATCAATAAATCAGATCATAAATTATTATTTCACACTGTATTGGTACAAGTTACATTATGAACATACATATTGCAGTATCAGTATGTTGTTTAACGTAACAATTTTTGCGGATATAAATTTACAATTTCGGGGGGTGGAGAGAGAGAACAGGCAGTAGGGGAAATTGGGAATTCTTACAACCACCCTTAATGCCGTATGCACTTATTTCACTATTGAAGATTGGTGACAATTGTAAATATCAAATTTGATTACGAAAATATGTAAAAGAAAAAGTATGTTTACACTAGAATTCGGGGTGCTGAATTTGTCATTGGCAAAACACTTTGTATGTGTTGGTAGAATATCTACATGATATGCGTTGTCTTACACTATGTAAAACTCGTTTTTGTCTGTGAAGCAACCTGCATTGACAAGTCACGCACATCCTCTTTTATTTCCTTCCAGATTCCAGTTTTTCGGGGATGTGATTGTTCCATCGTAGGTGAAGTTTCGTTAAACCTGAAATGTCGTAATTACCATGGAGATGACGGCTTAGGAGATTCTTGTTTTGAAGAACCAGACCTTGGCCTTCTGCAAAATGAAACAGCGGTAGAAACAATGATCCGTTTATCAAAGGATAACCCTGGTAGTACTCATCAGCTTTCTTTTTTCACCAATGACTCTTATTTTACTAGAAATCATTACATTATAGTGTTACACATAGCTTACACTTGATCATTTGTTGTATTTTTGTTTTTCTTAAACCCTAATGTGAATATAAATATATGTTTTATTGAAGGGGAAATAACTCTAATGTGTATTGGACCACTAACCAATCTTGGTACTGCTTTGAAACAGGACAAACACTTCGGAAGTCGTCTGCGAGACTGCTTCATATTGGGAGGCAACTATTATGGTATATATACAACCCTACCGCTGATGCACTAAGTATATATATATTGTATCACTGGTGGTGTTTACATAACTTATTTTTTCTCAATATCTGTCTATCAACTAAGTTAATTTCTGTTCCGGCTGCTCAAGGACTGGTTAGAATTAACCAGTGGTTAGTAAAACCTCAAATTGGTTGCCACTGAACAAACAAGAGAATATATCAATTTGGCGTATTTCAACAAACCTACAGTTGTGAATCGATACGTAATGCTCCTTATTTTGTTTAATCTACGTTTGAAAATTTTGTCCAACCACTTGTTATCTCAAAACAGCTTTTGGATATTTTCTGCTTTTTTACCCTGGTACTACTTCTTATTTTTCAATAATGTTGATTTCAAACTAAATGAAACTGTATTTGCCATATGACTTACTGGTTTATAATGCTTTTATGTAGATTGGTATTTATTTCCTTTATAATATACTGCTTGTTCACTTTTGTTAGTTAATATTGATTGGTTTTCTGAATAGCAAGTCACTTGCGTTCGAACTGATTTTTCTATTTTTTACTTTTCAAATCACATTTTATCAACTATCTAAACCTGAATTACTGTCCATTTACTGTCTACGCAACTGTTTATTTATTTACATTAGGCAGAGGGAACGCCACTGTGAGTGCGGAGTTTAACTTCTTTGCTGACCCCGAAGCAGCTTGTGTTGTACTGTCACAACTTCGATGTCCAAAGACACTTGTTGGTCTAGAGATTTTTACTGAAAGCGCAATAACATGGGTTTGTAATTTCAGTGTGTATGATTTTTTATGAATAGCTATTCTAGCAGTAAATGTAGATTTTCTAGACACACTCGCACGATCTCTAACGACATTACTTCCAACTAACATTCGAATACAAATCATAGTTTCAGACATTGTATGTAATTTACTTGATGTGTGTTATACATCAAACCTTTATAACGAATAGTCGGTCATTTTCGCGGAAATTATATTTTCGCAATTTTTCGGCCGCGGTATAGTGTGCAGTGATTATTCGTCTACATCGATATTTTATTCACGAAAATATGATTCGATGGTCTTGAAAGAAAAAATCACTAAAGTTGTTTCACCCATGAAAATTACAACCTCCTTGGTCTCTTGGTATATCATTCTTTTTCTGTGACAAATGTATGTTTTTGTGCTTTTAATATATTTAATGTTGTTAAATTCTCTATTTATGTTTTTATGATGGAATCGATTTACTAGAAAAGAAATCCAGTCTTCAACCGAATAGCAAAAGAGAATGTATAACATTTCCAGCTGTGCCGGGCAAAACAACTAGCCATAAAATATCATTTATCAAATTTTATCATTTATGAGTGGTTTGCAGCAAAGACGATTGATCAATTAACATTAGAAAAAATGTGTTATCTCTATAGCTTACTCGCAAACATTTTGTTATATGCTGCTTTCATTACAATAACAGGATGAGTATGACCAACTACGGAATTTCCCTGGCAAGAAAAATCAATTTTTAAAGTGTATTGAAGGAAATGCAGTGGCTTGTTCCCGCAGGAATGGTCAAGACTATTGTTCCCCGGATGCTGTTTTGGCGGCAATAATGTTGAATTCTGGGATTGTTTTGCAAAGTAGACATATATACACAACAGTAGAAATCAGCGGGAAACTTACTCGTGGACGGATGGTGATCGACTGGGATCAACAGCTCCAGAAAAATCCTAACATAAACATCGTCACCAAAATCAATGATAATTTATTCTTTCGTGAACTTCTGAAAATTGCTAAGGTCTAAAAAAAATTGCCGTTATTAATCTGGTGGTATAAGAGCCTCATTATTAATGACTGATATAAAAAAACCTTTAGGGTTCATCATAACGACATGTTCGGGCTACATTTTAGCGTACAAAGCCATTGTTTTTAAAATCATATTTGGCAAACTTATGCAGTGTATCGTGTCGGCATTTTCGTGTTGTCTTTATAATAGTGTACCCTTATTGCAGGTAGGGGCATAATATTGTTTGTAATCCTGAACACGGCATCATATCACATATTGTATCAGATAAAAGAGTTTGGCGAATACTTCTTATGACTTGTATTAAATTTTGACGTTTCACATATACATTAACAATTATATTAGCCACGAGCGTGTGAATATCTACCTGGTTTCTAGTAGATATTTATTCATATACCTTCCATTTACTGTAATTTTAACTTAATTATCCCCGATTTCCGATGCTAAGAGGATATTTGGGAGTGTCCGCAAAGTTGTCCGTCCCGTTTTAGTTTCTATACGATAACATCGGTAAGTGTGACTGAGTTTTAATCAAATGTGTAGTTTACATTATTTCAACCAGAGTTTGACCAGCTACGTCGTTTGTGGATATTTATGCATAATTAATAACTTAATAATAATTAGTACTTCAATTCTGATTGGCTAAATTCGATAAAATTTACTTTCTAATTAAGTACTAGGTTTCTGATGTGTCAGTCGTGCGATAACTTCGATAAATGTATCTGAATTTCATTTAAACAGACTTTAACTGCTTAACGAATTAACAATTAAAACATGGAATATAAATTCCAAAAATTACTTATATTTTACAAATACATCGAATATCAGGGACAGTAAGCCTCTCCGTCTACGAAGATTTTCACATTTCTGTTTTCCTCTTCTTGGATTCAAAATTTTGTGACCTTAACATCAGTAACGAAGGACGAAACAGCTGTGTGATGCAATTAATTTTTTTTTCTTAATATTGTATCTAGATTTACATCGAAAGGTGCTATTCAGTGGTATGTCTTATGTACCATTAGGTAGTAAGTAAGTTTGGTCGAGAAGGAAGATTCATGTTTTATGGAGCAGATCTTTATTGTTGATATATTGCTATAAATAAAACCTGATCTACATTAATATTCCACTTGGGTTTTAAAAAAGTTAAATAAGTCCATGACACGAAATGGTGACTGATCAACGTGTTTCGTTAAACGTTTAACTCGCGTAACTCGTCCTTACCTGGTAATTAATGCACATACATCGTTTCGTTTATAATACTCCTTTGGAGACATTGAAAAAAGTTGACTTTATAAAGCTACCACACTGAAGTAGTTTCCTACTATCACAAAAACGCTTACTCGAACCTATCGTAGTATTACAATAAGCACGAACAGTCAACACATGCGCTCATTTCATATTCATTTGGGATACTGTCCAGAAATGTCCAAATAGTTGTTGACGAATGTTTAACAAATAAACAGAAATTGGTTTATTGGTCTTTATATACCGGTTTATTCGCTATCTCAAAACCTTTATTACTTGAAAAATCATCATTTGGTTTTAAATTGTGTAGATTTACGGATTGCCCTGTCTATCGAAGAAGAGAGGACCAGAGCAATTTGCATGCTCCAAGTCGCTGCAACGCAACGCGAGACGGAAGAGTAGGAAGTGCTGAATGTCTTCAGAAGTATAATTCAGTGCGAGAGCACTATAATTCGGCTTTAAAGTCTCTTGATAGGACATCTAACAGTATTAAATCGAAAACCAACTTAAAAGAGACGATAAATATTCAATTGGTTTGTATTTATGGCTTTTGATAGTGGTTTAGTGGTAAAATGTTGGGCTGGTGATTGAAAGGCAGCCAGTAAGCTATAGAGACAACTACTTAGACGAAGTTGTCCTTGCCCGTCTTCGGATGGGCTATACATACCTTATTCATTCATATATGTTGAAAGGCGAAGACAATCCTCGGTGCATAGGATGTGATGAGCCATTCACCGTTACACATTTTAAATTGGACTGCAATGACCTTCTGTGAACTCGAGAATGTTTTTAATTGTAAAGATGTTAGACTATATAATAGATAATGACGTACCATTTTAATCTTTTGTGATAATTTACCAATTTAAGATGTTCAGCATTTGTTTTTTACCTTAAAGTTTGTTTGTTGTTTCCCTTTTTTTGGATCGTTGTGTGTTTTACCGGTTGATGGCCCTAATGACATTTTATGTGTTGACAGTCCGTTACGAATGTCATAATAATAATAATAATAATAACAGCTATTTCGATATCAGTCGCCGAATTAAAGCTTTAAGTGTGTGCTCTCCGGATAATTGAGAACGATTATGGCAAGTGGCAGAAATCAAGTATAATAATGTGTTAACAACATTTAGACAGTTATGCTGCTGTAATAAAGCAGTATATAGGAATCTGGGGTTATTATTATCTATCATAGATTGCCTGTAAGAGTCAAACATTGCGATATGAAACTCGACGTGTTTGATGCTAGTCAGTTGTTCGCTTGTTGGTAAACTCTCGTTGTTGTATACCTCGTTCGTATTTGAAAACTTAGTTGTAGTGATCCAAAGTTTACATGACGGATGACAAAGATGAAGTAGAAGACGCTTACTCTTCCAGAACACCAGGCCTAGGGATTAGGAAACAATTAAACTTCAAATTTTGCTCAGCCAATCATAAATGGCGTCTCTTAACATGACGTTATCAGCGATTGGTTAAGTCAGACAGTTTTAGACATGAGATTGTTACACGATCCTGAGGCCTGGTCGTATTTTTGTAATACCTTTTCAGACGGTTCTGTGTAAATCTTTCTTTTGTTCATATTTTGTCTCAGTTTTATTGAATTTGAGTTTGGATTACAATTATGTTGACATGTTGGTATTTGTTGTTGTTGGTTTTGTTGCACCAAACTGACATCTGGTGAAGACATTAACGACAATGGTATATATGTTATTTCCCCGGAGAACGTCACATTGAAACAAATATTATTTTATCGTTTATCGTCTTTCAATTTTACGAAATGTGTTGAATAAAAAGATGTACATACACCGCTATATTTGGATACATTGAGAACACGTGACTTTCTATTCAATTTATTGATATTTTTTTAATGTATCCTTATCTGAAAACATCGACGATGTAAATTTTTGGATTTTTTTCTGTATTGACTACATATTTATTGAAAAGTCAGCTTACCCTAAGTATGCTACCATTTTAAATACACGACATTTACAGGTTTATATTAAATTTGTCTGACGTACAGCAGCAGAGAAAAAAAAAATTCATTTCCTGTTGTATCTATAATTTTGTAAAAAAAAAAAAAAAAAAATAACACACACATTAGAAAATGTTCGTGATGGAACAATGGCGTATTTTTAATTTCTGCTTTGCCTTTCACAGCAGGACTTAGTGTAAGACTAGAGTCAACCTGTGTATTATTTCATTAACACCATCATCATATAATATGCTTGCGGAATCCTTCATTTTTGTCTTACGTCGATAAGTATTGGCAACCTGTAAAAAATAAAATAACAAATTTGTTTGAAAACAGCGAATGAAATGTAATTAATGATAACACAGTGATAGGGTCATATGACTAAAATTTCAGGAATGTCTTAAAAAGCGAGAAATGTTATCAGATTTTTGTTACGGGTTTTATGTCGTCTTAAACCGGGCGATATATTATTATCGGTAAAAAGTATGAAAACGACATTCAATTATCCAGACGAATAAACACATGTTTTTTAAGAAACGTACAAAGCTATGTTAGCCGTCGATTTGATCTATATCGAACTGCGTTGCAATGGATCGCAATTTTTCATTTTATGTTGTCAAGAAAGATTAGTCATAAACGCGTGCGGCTTATTACGATGTATAACGGTACTGGAAACTGAAATATCAACTTTGTGATTTTTCATGAAAACAAAATTCTCGATATTTTTTCCAGGTGTTTATTTTTCAGCGAAAATGGCCATACAATAATTCAACAGAGCCAAACGCATTACATAAGCCAGCGTTAAAAAGAGTGATATTCTTTCAGAGCAACTATTCATCTTTCCAGTGTTCATGATTGTTTTGTTCAGCCTCGTTTTTTATCTTCAAACCATCTTTTTGAAATTTTGGGTTTCTGTTTATGTTTACATTGCCATTCATTCGAAAAATTGGTTGTTTTTGTTATTATTATTATCATCATATAATCATATGTACACTATGAAACTTATTTAATTATGATGCTAGTGGTTAGATTTGATATTCTTATCCTATAAAGTTTGATTATCCTCAATCGCCTGCTTGGTTTCAAACTTTAAGCCTATAAAATTCCTAATGAATCCTCCGAATGTCGAAACAGCTGTATAATGCAGTTAAATTCATAATCTGCCTCTACAGTATCTAATTCTAATTTTTTAACAAAAGGTGTTATTTATTTTGTGTGTTTTGTTAACTTTAAATTTAATATGAGCGATGTTTGGAAATAAACAACAATATAAATAACATCAGTCGACACCTACCCTGAAAATAATTAAACGTTGATACATCTGATTGAGTTCTGGTATACATATCGTACTTCCGTAGTTTACTCCAAGGCTCTCTTCGATAAACACACTGACATATTTTTGCGAACGATCAACAAAGTTCTGAAACAGAAACAAAATATATATACTTTTATAGACAGTGCTGAATGATATTAACCGAATACATTTCTCGCATACAATAATATATTACGTGGAATCAATTCGGATTAAAAGAAATAGTTGTTACATAATGTCAGTATTTTCATAATTTTTTTCCAGCGAGTCCAAAACACCATTTTGAAAATTTCGTTAGTCCAATGATACTACTAATTGGTTCATTATATATTCTAAGTGTAAGACTTTTTTTAATATTGAAATAGATTTTAAAGAACATTTCAAATTCATTTGATTTCTTTTTGTTCTTGAGATATAAATTCCTTAATATAATCCTAAATTTGGTTTTGGAATCCACGCCGAGACCGGGTACGACCAAATCCCTGTGGATATGACTGTATTCATAGCGTTTGCATGGTCTAACGTTTGATATTTTCAGTTGATCGATTCATTAAGAGAAACAACAGTCAGAGTGTAAATATATCCAGAAATATTGCAATTAATATACAAGTGATCACTAGACTCTTGTATAAATAATTCTTATGTCAAAACTAATTATTTATGGAAACTGATCAAAATAGCTGGTCATCAATGTAAGGGAGGTAACTCGAATTGACACAGCTAGTCGGCACATTGATACGCCATCATACCAGTGTGTGGTTGCTTCTACAGAGAAGTGTTATTTTCTAATATATCATTATGTACAGCTACTTAGTAATCTATGTCATTTACGTGAGCTAAATATAAAATTTGAATTATACCCGCGTTCTACGGTAACTGAACTAATATGGCGGTGACCGAATAGTGATACGCTATAGTACAAATTTGAGAATTGATATAAAATTATCAAATCGGCAAATCACTTTCGATCAAGATCATGGCGATAACAGTTTACAAAGATTCCATCTACACAAGTCATGAAATATAAGAGTTCTACTAAAAACAAACAGTAGCTGATTGTTCGGCATATACTTACCCCCACACATAACTCAAAGACAAAATTTAATTTACCTGCAACGTAGTAAGTGGCATATCGTGTTCATCATAATATGTGTCGTCTAAAGGGAGATAACTCATCCCTGTGACCGTCTTACGATTTTTTCCGCCGGAACAATTATATATAGCATTCATCACTCTTGGCGTAAATGAAATTAAATCTGTGAGATAAAAAGAAAATGTGACAACCATTATAGCCCTGTCTGATATATTTTCTTAAATGAATCTTATATTTTAAGTATGAAGTTCTATATCAACAATTGTTTTCGATAATCAGACGCCATGTTTTTCAAAAAAATTACCTGGCCTAATGGGTCAGGAAAAAAATTAAACTTTTATGAATGAAAGAAAATTGAAAATATATTAATCATTTTTAAGCCGAAGACATTGCTATTAAAGGTCTGAATGATAAAGCTTGATTATTGTGTTTGCTTTGAAAGCCTTCATTTTTGTCAGTAACGACTTATAAACCAATACCCACTGGTTAGCTCAAAGTAAACTTTCACTTGCACTTGAACTAGTCTATAGCAAAAAAATGGATTATCGTATTCATGACAGCAACTTTTTTTACTTTGTGATTTTTCTTCTTTTTTTCTTGGGGGGGGGGTCTTTTTCTTTGACGGAGGTATGTAAGGCATATGCCAAAATTTGATGGAATATAAAATAGACAATAACGAACAGAAAGACTTTTTTTATTGGCAACATGCAATGACAAACTCTTTAACTGTCAAGTAAGGAGATTCGAGGAAAAACTAAATTCGGTGAATTACATGTAGCATCTGTAGTCCTATGACAAGAATTGAAGCTGGATGAAAAACAGATGTCGATTAAAAGATGATGTGAGATGATTTGTTAACTGAACGTTTTCGCTATATTAGTATTCAAGTAGCTAACAATTAAATTACTTTCGTTTTAAATTTACTGAAATTCATTCATTCATTCGTATATTCGTTCGTTCATTGGATTATTTATATTCGGTGAACAGAAATTAGTCTTGATAGTAAGTAATACCTATTGAGTATACTTCATAGGGGAGTCATCCACTCCCGCTATTAATCTCCAGAAGGCATCGACCCACAATGTGTTGACGTCCTAATCCACGAGAAACAGCATACGATGCTAGATATGCATTAAATCTATGTAGTCGGCTGATACTCAACATCACAACAACGAAACTGTTCTGCTAGGATAAGTTATATGTATCTGATGCATGTGATAAGACAAGCTTCATAATCAATATCACGCACCAAACCTGTTAGCTGAAATACTTAGGAATGAAAATGTGTGTTAGCACTGTAATTACAGTTGTATGTTTTTTCAGGGTTAAATCAAAATAATAAGAAAAAGAAAGTAAAACGGACGAAGAAGATTCAAAGGCTGAGACAGGTAGGTTAAAAAGACAACGATCAAATAGTAAATGTCTGATTTATGATATATATACAGTAATAAAGGACTATCCGTTGGTGAATGGTTGTGACAAGTAGGAGACTGACTGTACACATGGCAAAGTTACACGTGTAAATGACTGTAGATAATACACGTGTATTAAGTATATGGTTGTTACCAGTAGAAGACATTACACATGTATTACGTATATGGTTGATAAAAGAATGAGACAATACACGTGTATTAGGTTAATGGTTGCTACCAGTAGCAGACATCACACGTGTAATGTAGTTAAATCGTTGATACAAGGATGAGATAATGCACGTGTATTATGTATATGGTTGAGCGAGAAGGAAACAATACACGTGTATTAGGTATATGGTTATTACCATTAGGAGACATTACACGTGTATTAGGTAAATGGTTGAGACAAGAAGGAGACATTACACGCGTAATAAAGTTAAATGGTTGATACCAGTAGGAGACATTACACGTGTAATAAAGTTAAATAGTTGATACTACAAGTAGGAGACAATACACGTGTATTAGTAAAATGCTTGAGACAAGCAAAACAAAACCCAAACCCCAACTACAAATAGACTCCAGCTCGCCTCTGGCTAAAGCAATCTCAGCATGTGAGTTACACTAACAACAATAGCCTTGATACACTGTACATACCGTTTTGACAATCCATGATTATCACTTCATGACTCTGTAAAAATGCATTCTGAAAAAAATAATGATGATGATAATTAATAATGATAATGGGCGTATCACTAAGTATTAATGGTAATGGAAAGAAGATATATTCTACTGGAACAATGACGTCACGTTCGCTGGCACCACAGCCGTATCGTACACTGTTTACACACAAAAATACAATTATGCCAAGAATTATGGCTTCATTGTGAACGAAAAGTCTAAAATTTTATGAATGGTAACATTGGTTTACACAGTTAAGTGTTTATTGTCGAGATGAACTCTGAAGTTCGACTGTTACGACATAGCTTACACATACCTTTCCAGAATATGACACAGCCACCCAGAATCGACGATGTTCGGCGGCGAGTTCCAGACACTGACCAGGGTCAAGGAAATCATGCTTTGTTGTTCCACCATTGTCATCATCATTTACAATAAACACGTGTGTTTTAATCTTTCCGCATGCACATTTTAATGAGTCAATTTCCAATATACAAAATCCAATTGTTATCATATATATCACCAATGACGTCATTCTGTAAATAAATAAATAAATGAATAAACCGTAAATTCAATCATAAATTATTTGCAAAATGTCCAAGGTTGCATATTTTCAAAAGCTTATTTTGAAGTTAGATGTGTTTTGTAAATGATCAATTTTCGTAATCCCTACTTTTACACACACGAACATGGATAATATATTTACATTTGTTTCTGGTACAATACATTGCTAAAATGTCAAGGAGATATATTACTTTGTATATTTGTTACATTTATACTAAACATGGACACTATTTTGATTCAATCATTATACACACAGAAACTTAAAGCCTGTTTTAAACACTCTGTATCATTCCGAGTTAATTATTACGACATAACTCATGGTATAGACGTTAACGATTTGCTATCAGGTTAAGAAATTGTAGATTCCATTGTTAAAAAGGTAAATCAACGACTAAAATTTCTCTACAGAAACGAGCAATGTCTATCGTATAGGTCGGGAAAAACTCTTTGCTCGGCATTGTTTCTTTGTCATTTCGACTATGCCAGTGCTGGTTGGTATGAAGGTTTGTCAAAAAAACTAAAATATAAATTACAGGTAGCACAAAACAAAGTAAAAAGATTTATTTTGAATGTTCAAAATAGGCACAATATAAGATGCAGTGATTTTTCGCGTACAAACATGTTAGACATTAATTATAGGGTTAGTCAAATCAGACTGAATCTTACATGTATGTTTAATGTTTTCCATGAAAAAGGCTCCAAACTATATGTATAATTCCTTTAACAAGAATCCATGTCTACAAAATACTCGATCCTCAGCATATATTTTCAGTCTCCCATCAGTACAAGGTAAAGAATCTACAACATTCTACTTTACAGGCACAAAAGAATGGAATTCTTCTCTTCCAGATTATATTAAAAGTATACCAAACAAGATTAAGTTCAAAACCCAAGTGAAACGTCACTTTCAAAACAAATTTCAAGAGAAACATGATAGCTATTATGTATATTATTGCTGGAAATACATTTGTAAATCCATTTTAAGGACGCCAATGGAAATAAGCGTTTCAACGCTTTTTTTGGGAAATCCTAGGATATATGTACTTTTGTCTTTATTAATAATTATAATTAGCTGATACATTAAAGATATAGCTAACAACTTATTCCTGATTATGTATAACATGTTATATGTGCCATATACTCATATGTTTTGTATATAAATCTATACATCTTTATCCCGAATAAATTTATTATTATTATTAAAAGCCATGGTATGAAATTATCAAGACATAATTGTTTAGTCATCTGATAACGGGTTGAATTTGACTTCCTTTAATTTCACTTCCTGCTCGGCCTCATATTGTGTCCTATCTCCCATGCGAGTGTTGAAATGTAAGTTTAACTCTTAACCTTTTCAAATTGAAACGCTTGGCATGACGCCAAGTATATTGACTGTTCAATCCTTATAACATACCCTTAAAGCTGGTCTACTGCCTATCCTTTTTATTAACGGCTCAAGTTATTTTGCCTGCTTTTATACTATAATAACTAATTAAGAATTTGAGTTGATGCATTTTAGTTTTAATCAGTGCAATGTCTGGTTTTATCATTTCTAGGCCGACGAAATACACCGTCCGGTCTTCATGAGAAACACAAACCGCCAAGGGTAGTGAGCGTGAATCACACACTATTTATACTTGCATAATACATAACAATTAAGAAAAGAATTGTACTTACATAAAAATTCTTTTGGTGGTATTACAGTATTTCAATGCCTGTGAGTTACGGGATTAATTCTTTTTCCAGAAGTATTGAAAGGATTTTTACCACTGGCAGGAAATATATGTACATTGAAGCTAGTTCCAAATCTCAGAACGACTGTCTCCATCCATCCTACTTTAGTCAGTAATTTAAACATTGCCTTGAATAATACAAACAGGTAAACAACTTGTTTCTCTGGTTTTTTTCGAGACATCCGATAGGCTTCTACAAAATACTCGTGTCGGCATTGTTCTGTCCTAAAGGCACGCAAACTTATTATACGGTGTAGTTATATCGTGCTGTATAGTTTCATGTTACAACACATTGTATAGCTAGACATCTGACGCTACAACACACCACTTAAATATAATATAAAAGAAATGTTAGATAAAACATTATTCATTACAAAATCCTTCCCAGTAAAAGGAAAAGGAAGTGTGCTTTAACATTTGACTCATAACCCCTGGTAAATGTATCATAACGCATTACATGTTAGTTAGGAAAAGTAGAAATACTGACCTTGATCTTGACCTCTGATCTTGAATTATGTGTGTTTGCATACATTATTCAGATATATCTTTTTTGTTTATGACGTCACAAAGCATTTACCAATAAAACGTTTAAATACTGACTTTAACTTTTACACGTGAAATAAGAGGTTAAACATAGATTAATCTTATTACACACATATTTCTTAGAAGGACAAAATATCATATTCAAAATTTAGTTGGTTCTTACGAATAGCACAATGAGGACAGCAAGTAAAATTCTTACACTCTGCCTGCAGGGGTCATTTGAATATGTCATACATGAACGAGTATATCTGTGTCAATCACATGCACTTTCCTCACATGATGTTTTTTTATAGAATTGTACCGACGCTCTGATTCAGACGAACCCTATATGAGAGACCTATGATGTTTTGGTCTAGACAAAGGCGTCCAGACATAACCTTTATCAAAGACCTATGGTGTTTTGGTCTAAACAAAAGCACCCAGACGAAACCTTTATCACTGATATATGCTACTCTGGTCTAGACAGTCCAACCATAATATATATCAGTGACCTACAATATCTATAACATACATAGGGTATCTGTATATAACTGAAACATTGCGAATCACATGCTCTGAAGAATTAGAGCACAGTAGACACATATTTACATTGTATTATCATATGTTTCCAACAGAACTCCCCCGCCACTGCCTTCAGATTAAGTGTATGTAAACATAGATAAACTATTGAACGATATAAATTTGATCTGGACATCGACCTTTACTGTAGATTCGTATTAATTTAGCATTCAGAAGTGTACTTCGTCTATACATAACAGAAATAATACGGCACCTAGAAAGAGATGCACAACATTGCACATGTAAAACTCCAGGCATATACATGTATGTGATAAGCATTGCGTATGTTTGTACATAAACAATACGTCGTTTATAAAACGATATAAATTTTAAGTGCAATACTCTTTTCAAATTACTTCCTGATTTTCAAGCACCTAGCAAACAACTTGTGTTATACTGTGCCTATCATGATCTTGTGAATGGTTGTATGACTATAAACAAAGTATTTTAGACGAAAATTCGTAATGAATATCGCAAAAACGAAGATATATCATCAGAAGTGTTCACATTTGTAAGATGGACGTAATCAGTAAATTAGATATCTGGGGTCAGATAAGGTCATCCACGTGCAATAGATCAGGTGATGATATCAGATATAGGATGAGTCAAGCTGACCATCATGTGGCTCAAATATATATATATATAGTGTAAATTTATAATGATCATCATTTCATTCCGATCGGTGAAAGGAAGACATACACCATGTCTGACGGCTCTTATGAAGGTGATGTTGATGAAAGTCAATCTTTGCTTGGCAGGAGTAAAGCAATCTCTGTGAATGTGGTTCCTTACGATAGATATGATTTGTCACAAAGAAATCGTCCTTTCCTGCCACCGAGACTTCGAAATGTTATTATAGCCGTCCTCAACGTCATAACGAATGTCATGATGAATGCGTCACTTCCGGTTTATGCCGATACAATGAACCAGGTTGGAGGAGGCGCTTTTGTCTTACTCGTCAATACAAGTTTAGTAGTATCTGTTTTATTTGCGTTGATGACACTCTTTGTCAAGTATTCAAAGATGGACCCAAACGCAAGTCTGAGACCAAAGTCATCTTGGAAAGTTTTATTTGCAATGGGACTGTTCACAACGCTGAATGGCATTCTGGTTGTAAACGCAAGTCCCTCCAACAGAACACCTCCTTATCTACAGGGTATACTGGCGTCGACTGTGATACCGTACACGGTTCTGTGCCGTCTCATCCTCCTCAGAAAAGGTAAAACTTCAGTAAAGAAAATAGCTTAATTTCCAAACATACAATTTTAAAATGCTTTCAACTTTTCTTTGCTATACTGTGAAGTTTGTAATATTCGCGGGGATATAATTTCACTTTATTTGCCGTCAATTGACGGCGCAAAATAAAATATTTCGAGAACATTTCTATTGTAAATGAAAATCTATGAGGTGATTTGTTAAGTCTGTAAACACGAAATGTAATACTCGTGAACTAGCGCCAACCGGAAGAGCCGCGGAATACTAGCCCCTCGAAATTATACTACTATACAGTAAATTGATACATTACACCACCAAGAAGAATGGCCTGTTTACAGAATCTTCATTCATATGTATAACCGATGAAATAGGTGAAAAATATATAAGATAGATTAGATAAGATTAGAATGGCTCCCCTTCGATATGGATCAATAGCCCAAAAGTAAAAAATGTTGAAATCAATGCCTCACAACCATTTCACATTTTTAAAAATCATGCAAGTATTTGTATCGAGATTTGTCAATTATTGCAGTCGTTTATCTTGTTTTTTATCCTTGCAAATCATAAAGCATATTTTTGAAAAGCACTTAAAGATAAGAATATTTATAGTCATCTTGGAATAGGAATTGTAAGTAACCCTGTTTATTTATTTATTTATTTTATTTCAGGTATAAGTACTGTTAGGGCATTATGCACGTGCGTGGTATTGGTTGGATTATTCATCAGTACAGAACCTCAGACGTTTGGACTCGACGGTTCGGAAGAAGAGAATACGGGTGCAACCGTCATCCAAAGAATTCTTTGGCCGTTGTGTTTTACGATTGGTTTCCTACCTATTGGGTTAAGCAATGTGTTCTGTGAAAAAGAATTACAGAAAGATGAGGTAGGGAAAACGTTTCGTCGACTATGAATAAAATAAAAAAAATATGAAACACTTCAAAATATAGACCCTTAGCATCACTGACGACTCCTAGAAGGACGAAACAGCTCTTTATTTCATTGTTTGGCTCTACTCTAATTAACTCTAAGTAAGGCGTTATTCATTTGTGTGTCTTTTGTACCATCCTTGTTATATAGTTGTATAAAAACAAGTTGTAGAACAGGTTCCGGATTATTGACGGTCCACATTTATAGGCCAGATTTATGGCCAGCAAATGGATAAATAGGTATATGTATATGATTAGAAAAAAAGTATGAAACATTGTATTCTTATTTGATAAGTTTGATATTCTCTATTGATTTTGTTTGTTTTAGGGTGAGTCGCTTGGATTTATCACGTGGACTAACGTTTTCCAATTCGTCACCATGGTATTTTTCTTCTGGACTGATTTTGTACCAGGATTTGGAATGGTAAGAAAAGAATTTTCTATGCAATGCTCTTGACATAACACAGGCTGTAACATTGCAGTCAACTTGTGAAATTCTACTTTTCAGGAGAACACAGGTCCTTGAGGTTTTCACCGGAACCCTACATACCATGTGCAACAGTGGCTAGATTAAGAGTAAATAATTTGAAATTTAGAATGATGCAATTTGGTAATTTTATTTATTCTCAGAAGGATGGAACAGCTGTATGACAGCTCATGCAGTTATCAAATCATGAGTTGGCTAATTAATGTACCTAACTTTGAATTTTGTTGAAGTTATTAATTTGTGTATTATTTATATTGTATACTTCATACAACAAGGTGCAATGATCTCCCGCCATTTCCTAAAACTGATCCTACTTCAAGGTTTATTAATAGCCAACATTCTATCTTTATCCAGTTGAAAAAAGTGTGAAACAGTCAAAAGCTTAACTGCCGCGAATTTTTACTCCGTATGCAGTAATTAATATGTTTTTTTGAAAAGTTTCAGTTCTCGTTTGTCCTCTTGACCATTTGGTCGCGTTGCTGTGTAATTCATGTTTGATAGTTTTTGGGTCAAGAGTTGCTTTTTGGAACATCGGAATGTAAATAAGATTGCGTGTTTCAAATCTAGTCTTGAGCAGGACAAAATGTTTACTAGAACGAGTTCACCTGACAAACCTTATTCTATATTTATCCTTTTGTATCCATTTCAGTCCGATTCAGCTTCTCAGTTCTTCAATAAATTCGGGAAAGGGTTTTCCTGTCTGTACAGTTCAGCCGATTCTTGCCTTGGACTAGCCGGAAAGTCGTGGAAAATTAAGCGCTAGGGCTACGTTTTCGGGAACCTATTTCAATATCTGCTGATACAGGTATTGCAAAGGTCGGTGCCGCTGTCATCGTTCAAGCAATGGTAACTCCAATCATGCACCCATCTACTGGACACTTTTCACGTATAACAACAAAACAGACATTCTTTTGTGGCACCCAGTTATGGACGCTAAAACAGGGTTCACTCTGGCAGGACTAGCTGTAATAGTACCAGGAGTGTTTCTATACAACTATTTTAGTCGGAAGGAAGCCCAGGAAGCTATTAGAAGGGCAGAGGATCCATAAAAACTTTGACAAGACATTACGAGGAAACAGATTTTCTGCAGTCCTAACAGAAATTCATTCAGACGATTCCTGACGTCGTTTAGGGGTGGATAGTTCATATCAGCCAACACAACAGAATTTCTATCATGTCTTGCATGACATAAACAACAGATCAATTGATGATACAGTGTGTCTTTTGGTATGTGAACAGGTGTTAATGACACTCTTTATTTCATAGTGTACAACCACTGTCAACAGCCATACACGTAATATTGTTGGTGGACAATGCATTTGTAGGCTTCATATGTAGCTGTTTTAGGGATTTGTGTACCTTTTTAACTGGTACCGTGCAATTATTGTCAGTTTTAAGTGTTACATGCAATTAAACAAATAAATTGATTTCGTACGTGTAAAAGGATCAAAATTGTCGCATCAGTAAAACGTTTGGTGATTCAGGCATCGATCGACTTCTAAATGCAACTAAGATTGATGTCACGCTG